TCACTAGTTACGAATCCCTAAAAAATAAATACACTATAAAGCAAGTGTGTTTAGATATTATTATTGAACATCTGCGCTTTTAAAATATTCGGTCAAACGAAAAAAACATGTTTTGGCAGGGCACATACGTCTGATCTATGCTCCTGTCAATAAAAGACACACGGACACTAAATTGTGTTCGTCTCACAACGGAACACGAGATTTCATGGATCATGAAAAAAAACAACAAAATCATTAATGATTCATAATATATTCTAGATAACGATTAGTTCATATTCCGATTGATTGCAACATCGTATCAGTGACTAAACAGTATTGAAATTTCAAGATAATTATTACGTAGTCTAGTAGAGAGATAAAAAAAACAAATATTTGGCAGACTCTTGAAAAAAAAATAAAGCAAAACTATACAAATGAAGATTGTAATTATTACGATTTATCTCTTAATGTAACTGTTTTAAACGCGTAATGTATTAGTTAACTCATATTTATGTATATTCTGTAGTTTACGCGAGCGGTGCATTTTTTAATAAAACACTTCTTAGACCATTTATTCAGACCCCCCATGGCCACGGGGGCTACTACAAAACATCCGAAACGTCGATTCGTAGATCAAGGTGACTTTAAACTAGTTAAATATTATATTTCATGTTTTAAACCATTTAAGGTGTTTTATTTTAGTCTAGTTCTACTCGCGTAAAATTGGTTCCGTAACAAACTGACGTCTAAAAATAGAAGAATCATGGCGTTTTTAGTTATTTATTATTGAATTAAAAATATCTTGTAATCTCTATCGTGGTATCTAAAATACAGCCTGTTGACAGACAGACACACAAAAATTTAATGAACATTGGAGGAATAGATACCCGCTTTCACCCATTTGTCACGGAACCCTAAAATGACCATCTGTTTTGTCGCTGTTGAAAGACAGAGAAACAAAAGGACGTGTTTGCATTTATATTGGCGTAAGAAAGTCCGTATTTACAAAAAATGCCCACCTACCTGAGCAACAAAAACGCTGGTTGGTAGAGATTGGTACAGCGTGAGTCTTTTACAATAACTGACCATTCAAATAGAACACTTGAACGGTTTAAAACGCGATATATTAGTTAAACTTATTTACTATGTATTTAACTTAATTGATACATTTCCCGTTTTAAACCGTTAAAACATGATGCGCTGTCGACTTAATTTGACTTTCAGTAGACTGAAACCGAATCGCGATCAAACTTCACGACTATTCTCTGCAGTCAGTGGTTCGTTATTCCTACCACCCATTTAATGTCCACTTTTCACAAAGCCCCACCAAAAAAAATGATTAGAAATATGTTGGACCGCATGGGAATAGAACCCACGAACCCCGTTATTAAAAATACATACTCATACCAATGAGCCCTTGCCAAAGTTCGTTATAGAAAATGCATAATCGTTAACCGATGCAAGGTAAGAAAAACCGTTTATAGGATACAGCAAATCGACTTATAATAAAAACCGATGTTAACGCAGGAAGCAGCCGAACCTTCCTGCTGCTAAAAATAATGTATTCGAGGCTGCGCGTGCGCACATCAGCCATTGTTCCCCAGAAGGCCACTGATAACAGCACAATGGCTTGCAAGTCGCGACAGCTGGGTTCCCAAAATTATAAAATAATTTTCTACCTGAGTTCAAATGTGTATGTTAGTACTATAAAGCTGGGGACTTTGAACGCGTTAATCTCAGAAAGTACTATGTCGAATTGAAAAAATATTTTCGTGTTGCTTAGGATATTTATCGAGGATGGCTTTATGCTATTAAACATCTCGCTGCGACTAGTAGGAGCGAAGACAGTGGGAAATGTGGAAGAAACGGGGAAAATCATCTGCGTGAGTTTCCGTCACGTGCGCAGCAATAACGGTTCAAGATACCCAAAAAATATATTATATAATAGAAGTGTTCTTCTTTAATTGGTCTATTTTTTTATATTATTTTTACAAGGACTGTTTTTATGGTAGTCAAATTTTGTTGAAATAATTTATTACAACTTTAACGGTTTAAAACGTAAAATATATCAACAAATTTATTTTTACCTAAACTTGAAGTTCACGTGGTCACTAAGCAACGATACAAATACATGCTCATATATTTCGCGTTTAAAAATTTTTAATTTTTTTATATATATATGCATGTGTCTTTTCCGATAATCAAAACATTTTTAAACGGAAGTAATGCTTAATTGGAACATCCCGCTGTGTCACATGTTAAATAAGGAATTAGTTTCTTTGTCCCATCTGCGGCAGCCTTGCTGATATAATTATGTGTATTTATCTTCACTAATTGAGGTTAAACAAAAGGGATTTTGTTGTGTTTCAAGGCGTCGCCATTGTGGTTTTCTTAGGAGCCATACATTTAACGTAAGATAACTGTCGCAAATTTTTTATTCACCCCCCCCCCACCTCACCCCCCTTCCGGGGATCGTATGCTTTCATCGGATGCTTTGCACAGCCGTGGTCACGGGGAGACAAATCAAATAAGTTTAGCTAATATATCGCGTTTTAAACCAATCCATTGTTGCTTAGGATGATAATAATAATGCGAAATAGTAATATTATTGCAATAATACAACGACTAATAGGGAAAATTACAACAATTGATGACAATTATTGAGCTGGTCACGAGCTGTCAATGTTTGCCAAGGTTAATAGCTTGATGTAGCTGTCTTCAAGTAGCTTGTACTGTTTTTACACGTGACTCACGCGCAAGATGAAATGGGATTGTGGGGCCATTAAGATGTGAGGGTGCGCTGTCGGCGTATTTTCATTTTTGAAATTCAACAGAAGCCCTTGCATCTGTGGACAGTGGTTCGTGAAGACGGAATTTCGGTATTACCTACCACACATTATTATTATCAGATCTACAAGCCTATCAGAAACATCTTAAGTCCCACGGTGACGAAGGAAACGTCTTTGATAAAAATATGTAAACAAATATACTTCGCGTTTTAGACCGTTGAAAGTGTTTTATTTGAATTTTTCATGAGATATGTCGGGACGTAGTTAAAAATAAGTTTGCTAATATACTTCTCGTTTTTGACCGTTACGTCGCGACCTACTCAAAAAGTATAAAAAATATATTAGAAGCGTGTTATTTAACGGTTTAAAATTCGAAATATATCAATTATAACGCGTTGAATACCATTTTGTTCGTTTCTCCTGCGTCATAAACCAACAACCGAAAACCAAATGAATTATTCGTCCTGCATCAATTCGCCTACCTGCTTGTCCTCGTGATGCAGCCGGAATCACTTACGCGGTCCTTAAACTTCTCGCGTTGTTTGTGTCCGAGTGCGTCGGCCTCTGATCTAGAAGGCTGATCTCGGCCGAACCGAATCGAACCGCGTATATTTTTACGTAAGTACGTGTTGATGATAACGAGACGTTGAGATCTAGAGGCGTCGGAGTCCGAGGGGGGAGGGGAGCAATGGGAAGGGGGGGGGATCACCTAAACATGGAATTTCAACGTACTAAGATTTTTTTAACGATAGGGAAGGACAGACAAGCACTACACTTGTTGTTTTAAAAAAAAACCTAACTAAAAAAAACCTTTAACGGTTTAAAACGCGAAGTATAAGTGCAGTTTAAAACGAATTACCCTAGTTTCTCAGCAAGAGATCTTTTGAGAAATAAATAATTAAAAATCTAAAATACATTGAAAAATGTACGGCTCGGGCAGGACTTGAACCGGCATCGTCAGCGTTCCGTGCTGTGTGCTCTAATCAATTGTAATAAATAAGTGTTACACCGTAAACCGTATACAGTGTAGCAGTAGTTAAAAATGATTTTCATACAAGTTTAACTAAAATATATCGCGTTTTAAACCGTTAAAGTGATTTATTTAAATATTGACTGAATTATTAATTTAAATGACGCTGATAGTCAATCAATTAATTTAAACCACTTATCATATTTACTCGAATCCTCCGGTTCGTAAACAAACTGCGTCTGACCTCAAATATCTTTATCGAGGTTTGCGTATTTTGTTTTGCAGATTAACGCAATAACGCAATGTTTTTTTATTATTACATCGAGTTTCCTTAAGTGTGTTTTCTATCTGTCCTAATACTATAAAGCTGATGGGTTTGTTTGTTAGAACGCGCTAATCTTAGGAACTTCTAGTTCGAATTGAATTTGTTTGTGTTAGTTAGAGCATTTATCGAGGACGGCTTTAAGCTATCATGCAACAGACATCATCATGCAACCAATAGGGCTAACGATTATGAAAAGTGGGAAAACGGGGAAAAAGTATTCCGAGGGCCGCCGTTGCGTGCGCTGCGAAAACGGTTCAAGAAAACAAAATGATATACTGTAACGTCTAACTTAAAACTTGCAAGAACGACGGGACGCGACCAACGTCGTGAGTAACAGCTATAAGTTATAAAGATAAGGTGTGCAAAAACAAATTTCGATGCCAAAACTAAATAAATTAGCGGACGAAGTCGCGGGCACAGCTAGTGTGGTAATAAAAATGCGATAAGTTTCTCAAAGATTGCACTGTTTAGAAAACAATTGTGAATTTCTATTTTGGCACTTGAGAAAGTGCTCAAACTTTGTTACTTGCCTGAGATATTAGTGTGTTCTTGGAGAACCCCAGAATGTTGAACCAGGACGACTGGCTCCCAGAAGAGAGTAGAAACAATTTAATCTTCTGCCTAAAAAATGTGTTTTAAGGCCGTGAATGCTAATATTATAAAGCTGAAGAGTTTGTTTGAACGCGCTAATCTTAGGAACTACTGGTTCGAATCGATGTGTTCTGTGTTGGTTGAATCAATTATCAAGGAAGGCTTTCGACAAAAAAAAATTATGCTGCGCAGTTTACGCGAGTAGTACACAGAAAAATATAACAGTAACGGTCTAACGCGTGGAAAGTTGTTCTTTCAGAAAAAATATTTACGATTGAATGGTTCCTCTTTAAATGACCCAAAATAATGTCTCTATTTATATATAATGTTTCTATTTTGTCTCCAGGTGCACAACGAAGAAGTGGTCGGCTTTGGTATATCAAGTAACGGAAAGTTCATGATGTCCTGCTCCTCCAAGACCGACATGATCATCTACGACCTTAAGGGTCAGGTCCTGGAGCGACTCGACACCTACCTGATGTCCACGCACATGGCCAAGATCTCCCCCTGTGGCCGCTTCGTCGTCGCCACCGGCTTCTCCCCAGATGTCAAAGTTATGGAGGTGTGCTTCACTAAGAACGGGGACTTCAAGCAGGTGACCAAGGCGTTCGAGCTGACTGGGCACAATTCTGGTGTCTACGACGTCGCGTTCACCCCGGACACTTCGCATATTGCTACCATCTCGAAGGATGGAACCTGGAAACTTTATCATACTAACAGTAAGTGTTATTTTATTTTTATTTTATTTTTTATTTTTTTTACAAGGTTTACATATTTAATAACATCTGTTAAAATAAAATTATACAAACTAGTGATAGTGTATAAAATTTACCTATTTTATCACAATAAACTTTGTCTTATAGACTCACTATTATAAAAAAATGTAGTACAGTATATCTAAAGAGTATGTGATACTAAAAACATATGTGCTACTTGTGCAAGTGGATGTATATTTAATTAGTTTTTAATGTGATCCCAAACTAGGCAATGCCTGTCTTATGGGAACCACTCAAAACCGTGTTAGCTATAGGATAGACGAGTTATATTAAAAAATAGATATACAATCCCTAGATTATATGTTTATTTTATATTGTAAGCATTATTTGTTAAATAATGTATGACGTGAGAATATATAGTGTTGGTTGGTATAGAATATATAGTCTGGTTATACATATGGAGGGAGTATGTTTTAAAGTGTAAGATTACTGGAGAGTATATATATTATTTTATGATACAGGGCAAGAAACCAGGATTCACTTGATGGAAGGTAGACTTTAAAACAGACAGTCTGTAGTTTACGGGAGCAGCACACATTTAAATAAAACTCATATACATTCAATTTTTTTTGCAGCAGCCGTGGTCACGGGGAGACCACGTCTGCTGCAAAAAATACTACAAAGTATCTGATACGTCGGGCCGTAGTCTAATAATTTCTCGAAAATATTTGGCTCGGTACAAGCTTATCAAACAGTGGTATTTTTGGTTTTTTCAAATTAGTATTTTGATCTTTTTTTTTAACACTTTGGACTTCGTCTGGGAATATCGAAATTCCGACGAGCTCACGAATGAGATGGTGGCATCTCATACGTTCAGTCTGAACATTTCCGAATGGCCCAAGCCAATGTAGGTCGACATTTTGTTGAGATGTTTGCCTCCTTGCCTCTGTTGTCCTTTATAAAAATATTATTAGCTTTTGTTGACTAACTGAGTCGGCGACTTCGTCTGCGTGGAATAGTTATCTCGGGAATTCAAATGTGTGTTTGCAAACTGTCTGTTTAACTTTATAAAATCTAACTCGCTGCGTCAGTCGCGTCCTGTCGTTCTTGCAAGGTAACCTTTAAAGCTAGACATATAATTACGGTAATTTTTTTGATCATTTAAAGAGAAATAATTTTTTCATACATATTTTTTGGGCACCTTGACCCGTTTTCGCGTCGTACGCATCGGAAACTCACAAGGATCAATTTTCTTTCCCGTCAAAAGTCACAGCGCGATGTTTTATAGCCTATAACTTGCCTCGATAAGTCTTCTAACCGACACAAGGTTTTTGATTCGAACCAGTAGTACCTAAGATTAGCGCCTTCAAACAAACTCTTGCTTTATGTTAGTATAGATTTTACTAACGTTTTGGTAAGAAGTCCAATTCCCAGGCTATTTCTCCATATATAATAGTATGTTTTAATGATACAGATTGTAACAATTCCTAGGTAATTAACCAAATTTTATGCCCATATGTGCTGGTGCATGCAAGGAATCAACAAGCTTAGGTTGTTTCTTTATCAGACAAGCAAGCGGTTTACTTGATAGAAGGGGAAACACCACATCATATAGCATCTAAACAAGATGCACTGTCGGCCTATTTATCTATAGACGACGTACATTTTTACCATTCTTTTACCCAAAAATTTATCTAATTTCAAAGTCGAGGTTTCAGAAAACGTATAAATTGATTTTAAGACACGTGGTTATTCATATATTGCTACCATTAGAACGAGTCAAAGTAATAATTGCTACGCTAGCGCCATCTGTTTCATCATACACACACCTTCACAAATAATTTGATAATTTTCCTCCTATCTGTTTTTAATCTGTGGTTTAACCTACACTTGAGTCAATGTCTTCAGATGCAAGTACACAGCGAAATTGCGTCATACGTATTTTAATTAAAAAATAAGGACACAGGCATATCTTTCAGATCTGTTGTTTGTTAAAGCTTAACGGCTTAAAACGCGAAATATAATGTTTAAACTTATAGTTCATTTTAACTACGGAACTGCAAAGCATTTAAATTCCCGGGTCGTTGTTGAAATAAATAAAATATAAACATCCTATAATGAAAAAAAAATATTCTTAACGGTTTAAAACGTGAAATATTCAACTGTCTAATGTAATTATTGCGCGACGATTCGAATTTTTCATAGCAGCCGTTGTTACGGCGTCGTAAGAATAAATTCAAAAGTAAACATTTAATGTTTTTCGCGTTTTAAACGCGAATCCTATCGGGTATTTTTAAATATAGAGGAGGACATACAAGGATGACGTTCTCTTGATGGATGGTAATATCGTTATATAACATCTGAACAAGATGCGCTGTCGACCTTTGTTTTACTTTGGATATTCAATTTATAGATTTCTCCAGCTCCCATTACACATATATGCTACGAGGACAAAATTACCCTATAGAATTTATTGCCTATAGGATTTTCCATTGATTTAATTAAAACAAGATTTACTTGTACAATGTACCACTAATTAAGTTATATTAGATTAACTGTTCTATATTTAAAAGAAATAACGTGAATAATTAATCTATTCAAAGACACACTTATTTTTATAACTACCCTACTACAACAACCGAATTGAAGATGCGGACACCTATGTTGACTTATTTCTAAAGCCACAGAACGACACTTACACTTTTCTTCTTCTTGTTTTTGACTGGGACGAAATTTCTGATAATCCCACCACCCATTTTACATCCTGGTTCTTCAGATGTAATTTTTTAGAAAGTGGAAATTGTTAAAGGTCAAAAGTCAGTTAAATATTTGACTCGGCACACTTATACCGGCATCCTCAGGTCCAGCTGTTCAATTGAGCTACCACTCATCGTCGCAATTTTTTAACCTATCGAAAAATGCAACTCTTGCGCATAGTTAAAAATAATTCCACAAGTTCAAAATATATCGCGTTTTAAACCGTTAAAGTGTTTTAATTAAATGTGTATGTAATAACAGTATTTCTCCGCTATTTAATAGATGTACACAAACCCTCCTCTATCTATTAAAAAAATCGCATCAAAATCTGTTGCGCAGTTTTAAACGCTTAAAGTGTACATAGGGACAGATAAAGCGACTTTGTTTTACTATGTGTTTGTCTGTGACGGGAATCAAACCAAGCAATGGTACAATCATACATTGCTACTATGGACAGACGAGTCCGCTAACACAATCCGTGGGTTTTGCTCAATTCAATTATTGTAAATTTTGTTTCCAATAAATTTAAGTGTTGCGTATAAGGTAAATTCAAGTACGCGCGAACGCCCCCCTCTATGAGTAATCCGTGTTGAGGACCTTTAAATGACGACGTCATAACACACGCTCGTCGTAATGGTAGCAATGTATGACTAATCAACGGGTTGTGGATTCGTTCCCCACCGGGTCCAACATTTTGTAGAATCGATTTATAATTTCTCTGGAACGTTGGACTTCGTCTGGATAATAAACGGGTCGTAGGTATAACAAAATTCCGTTCAAGTTGCGAACTACCGTCCATCGTTAGTAACCTTTTAAGCCCACCGATCCGCACTGGTGCAGCGTAGTGGGTCTAAGTTCTTAAAACGTGTGTCAATTTGTAGATCAATGCGTTGATACTCCTTTTTTAGACTATGTTGTACGTCTTGTTGTTTATTGGTCGTGGGTTCGGTTCCCACCGAGTCCAACGTGTTCCTAATTATATATTTTTACTGTAGACTTTGGAAATCTGGATATTAGATTGGTATAATATTGAATTTCCGTCCGGGTACCGTCCACAGATTTCAGATCCAAAGTCAAAACAGATCGACAGCGTATCTTGTGTAGATGTCATACGGCTGGGGATATTTATTTTCATATTTTCTGCTGACCGTTCTCCTTTCCCACGATGCTTTATGATTTATAAAGCCAAGTTCACACCAGCGCCTTACTTTTACAACCGTGTAACAATTATTGAAGCATATTTACGATATTCGCCAAACTCGACGGAACAGATGGCGCTAGCGTAGCAATTTTTACTTTGACATCAGCGCCCCTCTTCCCACCTCACGTACGCCTCACCAGCCTGGTGTGGGCGGGGGGCGAAAAAAAAAAAAAAACCCCCCCCCGGGGGGGAAAAAAAGGCCCCCCCGCGTTTTTCCCCCCCCCCCCCCCCCCGGGAGAAACCCCCCCCCCCCCCCCCTTCCCCCCCCCCCCCCCCCCCCCCCTCCCCTCCCCGGGGGGGGGGGAAAATTTTCGGGGGGGGGGGCCCCCCCCCCGCGGCAACCCCCCCCCCCCCCCCCCCCCCCCCCCCCCCCCCCCCCCGGGGTTTCCCCCCCCCCCGGGGCCCCCCCCCCCCCCCCCCCCCCCCCCCCCCCCCCCCCCCCCCGGGGGGGGGGGGCGGCCGGGGGGGCCCCCCCCCCGGTTTCCCCCCCCCCCCCCCCCCCCCCCCTTTCCCCCCCCGCCCCCCCCCCCCCCCCCCCCCGGGGGGGGCGGGGGGGGGGGGGGGGGGGGGGGGGGGGGGGGGGGGGGGCGCCCCCCCCCCCCCCCCCCCCCGCCCCCCCCGTTTTTTTTTGGGGGGGGGGGCGCGCGCCCGCCGCGGGGGGGGGGGGGGGGGGGGGGAGCGGGGGCCGGGGGGGGGGAGGGAAAACGCACCCTCCATCTTAAGTCTCCCCGTGACCGCGGCTGCTGCAAAGCATACGAAACGTCGGGCCGTAGCTTAAATAATTTTCTAACAAGTTAAACTAACATTTAGCATGTTTTAAACCGTTAAAGTGTTTTATTTGAACATATTTACGATTTAAAGACAACACTTTTAACGGTATAAAACCCAAAATATAGTCGATCTTATGAAAAGTTGATTTTTTCAATAAATTATTTTGTAACGGTATAAAACGCGGAACGTATTAGTTACTTTATTTACAATTTATTTTAACTACGGACTTTGCAGCGGTCGCGGTCGGGGAGAAATAAGTTTATATATTTCGCGTTTTCACCGATTTATTCGAATGTGTACTAATCGCGTAAACTACAGGCAGTGCTTAAAATTTCTATATGTTTAACCGAATTTCGGTTACCTTTGTTCGGTTTCGCCCGTGTGTTGGCGTCTTTAGAATTGTTCGCTGCGTGTCGTGATGAATAAAATGAGATGTATTCCACATCCTTGTTGCTTATCCTGGATCTTACGATTATTGGTTTAATGGAAATCAGGCGGATCCACGATGCCCTTACAAACATCTTAGTCGTGGAGCTTCCTTGAGTGGCAGCGATTGTAATGAAAAAAAAAATATATTTGAAATCCTTACAAAACGAAGTTTAACGTTTGTACTGGACTAAGTATGGTACTAACTTAGATTCGTTTTAATCATGGTTTAAAGTTAACAAGATTCGGCTGTTTTGGTTTAAACCTGGTTTAATTATATTTTTTTAATAAGGCCGTTAATGTAAACTAAAATTCTGTTAATTGAAATTTTCCTACAGATAGCAACGCAATTGTGTCCTGTCTATAGTTTACGCGAGTAGTACACATTTAAATGAAACACGAAGTTAAAAATCATTTCCAAATAAGTTTAACTAATAAATCGCGTTTTAAACCGTTAACTTATCTAAATACATAATTCCCAATAAAATTTCTTACATCACTATCGATCGTCTCTGTAGCCAAATGGTTTTTTTTTTTTTTTTTTTTTTTTTTTTTTGTGTGTTTGGGTCCTACTAAGCCTACCATCCCCGGCAGCATAGCTCCGGGGCCGAGGAGGAGAGAGAACCCGAAGACTTTAGAAACGGCGCTTATGGTTTACGCCAGAATTCTCGGGGTGTGTGTGTGTGTGTACATTTATTGGTGTAAAGACTCGACAAAGGGTTTTTATTAAGATTACAATATTAACTTAAAACTAACTTATAACTAATTTTTATTATTAACAACGGTTGACTTAATTTAGCTTAGCCTAGGTATTATTAAATGCTTTGAGATTATTTACAATATTTTCTATATGTTTAGTGAATAGTTCTGTAGTTTCACATTTCTTAATTACTTTGATTAAAAACAGGGGCTGTTGTACGTCAATTTTAAAATTATTACATGAAATAAAGAAATCTAAACGGGTTTTACTGAAGCGTGGGCAGTAAAATATAAGATGATCGAATGTTTGTTTCTCAGCACTATCACAAGGGCAGAGATCGTCGGGTGTTATGTTGAATCTATGTAAGTAAGATTTATTGAAGGAGTGATTTGTAAGGAATTGAGTTATGGCAAAGGAGGGTTTAATAACGGAGAGGAATGCGGAGAGGTCATCAAATGTCGGAAGATATTTCTTAGTATGAATAGAGGTAAGGGGTTGTTCATAGAATGATTTTCTAGAGTCCATAAGTGAGTCGCGTAAACGGAGTTTAATGTGGGAAATAGGGGTGTGAATAAAGTCGGGTGATTTATGAAGGGAGGCAGCAGATTTCGCAGCAATGTCAGCGATCTCATTGCCAGCTATGCCTATGTGTGCCTTGACCCATGCAAAGCCGACATTAATACTACTAGACGATAGAGTATGTAAGAGGTGAAAGATGTTAACAAAAGTATTATATGAATATGGGTTTGATAATTCTTGTAGGGAAGATTTACTATCTGAGAAAATAATACAGGAGTTAATGTTATTACTGTTGGAGGCAATCCACTCGCATGCTTTGTGGATTGCAAGCATTTCAGCTTGAAATACAGAACAAGAAGGGTGTAATTTAAACTTTTTAGTGACGTAAACTTCGCATGGATCAAATGCCACAAATGCCGCGCCAACAACGCCATCGTGTTTACTGCCATCTGTGAATATATGGTAGGAATAATTTATACTAAGGGATGAGAATTCCTCCATCGAGTTAATCTCGGTGAAGGTGATAGGGGTGCGAAGGGACGGGTGTAATAGAGACGACGGGGGAGAGGGTTTTTCTAGTGGAATATCAGAGGGAAGGAAAGAGGAGTAACCGAGGTGTTTAGAAGTTTCGATGGTGGCGACGGACTTTATCTGTTCAGGGAGAGGGATAAGTTGAGCTAAAGAAATAGAAGTAATAGTGCTGAGAGTGCGGAAACCATGTACTATCTTAATAGCAAATAAACGTTGTAGTGATAAGAATTTTTTAGCTATGAATTTATATTTTAACGAGTCAGACCAAATATTTGCGGCATAACATATTATGGGAATTATAACCTGTTCATAAATGGTTCGTATATTATCGGAATGTATTCCCCAAGTGGGCCGAGTAAATAATAATAATTTGTGGAATAATTTCTTAGCCTTGTGTTCGCCCGGGAACACAGGAAAACAACGGGATCTCATTTGTCTTACATATACATATTTAATACTCGCCTTGCCAGCGACTTCGTCCGCGTCGAACAGCTAAATTGGGCGTCAAAATTTATTTTTGCAAACCGTGATGTACGGTCGCGTGCCCTCGTTCTTGCAGGTTAATTTTAAAAGATAAACATTTATATTGTTTTATATAATTTTAAGAGAAATCATTGTTTTTCTACATAAATTTACGGAAACCCTTAAAAGTGAATGATTCCCTGATTATTTCACTTCTACTTGCCGCATAGAGATGTTTTATTGCCTTAAATCTTTCCTCGATAAATGCTCTAACCAACAAAAAAATAATTTTTTGAATTCAACCCGTACTTGCTGATATTAGCGCGTTCAAACATACAAACAAAAAAGCAAACACACAAACTCATCAGCTTGATATATTAGTATTAGTATAGATTCCGTTATAATTCCTACAAAATACTATTCAATCCATTTCAGTAAACTACACTCGCGGGGAATCCCCTCACGTGCTAGAGACTGGATCCTACACTCCAGGTGCCAACCCACCACGCATCGCTCTGTCTCCCAACGCTGAGGTGTTGGCGGTGGCCTGTGATGCCGACGTGGCCTTCTACGATACGTATACGGGCAAGCTGTTTGGAACAGTCGAAAATGTCTATAACAGTAAGTATTAGCTCAATAAGGTGTTTTTTAGAAAGTGCGCTGCCGACCTATTGTGGCTTTGAATATTCAAGATCGTCTCCAAGTCAGGTCGACTCTCTTCTAGAATACTGCTTAAGACTACCATCTCCTACTACGGCCCAAAAATTCCCCCCCCCCAAAACCTTTTTAACGGTTCAAAACGCAAAATACATAATTAAAGTCCATAGTTAAAGTGAACTAATATATTTCGCGTTGTACGCCGTTAAAAGTGTTTTATTTAAATGTGTCCTCGCGTAAACCACGTGTAATTGTGAAATATTTTATGTTCGTCTGTTTGTCCTTGTGAAAGAGATATGACTGTAATGGCACACTATGTCCATTCAAAGAGTTAGGAAGAAACATATTATCTTAGTTAATTAAGTATTGTTTCATTTTATTAGTAAGTGAGAATTGAAGCTGCATGCCAACCCTGTTAGTTCAATCCTATATTCGAACCAAGAATCTCGTGATCTGCACTCGACCGCTACCACCGCTAAACTAGAGACAGTGTCTAGGTAGTTTACGCGAGTAGTACACATTTAAATAAGACACCTTAACGGTTTAAAACGCGATATATTAGTTAAACTTATTGAAAAATGATTTTTAACTTCGGCCCGACGTTTCAGACCCTTTCTCCCCGTCTCCCCGTAACTACGGCTGCTACAAAGCATCCGAAACGTCGGACCGAAGTTAAAAATAATTTTCAAATAAGTTTAACTAATATATCGCGTTTTAAACCGTTAAAGTGTTTTATTTAAAGACGCAGTACTACTTACAATTCAGTTAACGGAATGTAAATTTGAGCTATTTTAAAAACGGTGCTATCGGGACGAGAGCGGTTCGCGACCTCACTTCCTATCGATTGGTCTCGAACAGGGACGTGTGAGCATGTGACGTCATTCGTCAAGCGCCGCAAATGTATTTCCATTAAAATCCCCATTGTAAAATATTTTATTATATGGACAAATGAAATAATTCAACTGAAATGTCTGTTATCACTTCTGGCGGGCGTCCTGAGACATCCCGCTTTCCCTATACAGAGCGGACACATATCTATGCCTGTTTCAGATAGGGAAGTAATTGATAAGACTATTAAGAAAAAAAACAGTAAATTTTAAGCTGGTTTAACCTCTTAGTTGCGCTTGCGGCAAGAAACTTCATTCTTATTTTGTCCCTGTATCATTCTGTAGTTTACGCGAGTATTTAAGTAAAATAATTTTAACGGTTTAAAACGCGAAATATATTAGTTAACTTACATTATATATTAAAAATCGAAAATAAATTGAAAGAAACTCGACTCGGGCAGGGCCTAAACCGCCATCGTCGAATAATATAACTTACTTTACTTAAATTTCACTACGGCCCGACGTTGGGGTCTGAAGATGGATGGTGTCCCAAAGTCAAATCGTGGCCTCGGTTGCTGCGAAGCAACCGAAACGTCCCGACGTAATTAAAATAATTTTCAAATAATTTTAACTAATATATATCGCGTTTTAAACAAAGAGTTTGTATTAAGCTCTGGTGCAATAAAAATGGCGCTTCACTGCCAATTTTTTTTGTTCCATTTTATAGGTTTTTTTTTCTCTATCTACCCTTCTTTGTGTATGAGCAATAAATGTTTTTTTTTTTCAACATTTCCAGATACGATAAACTATATTTCCTTCGACCCATCCAGCCAGTATCTGTTCGTGGGCGGTGATCGCGCAGTGCGGATCCTCCACAACGTCTGCGGATACTCCACCAGCATCGACTCCTGCACGAGACTTCTCGCCACCAAGCAGACCTCCGCGACGGTAGAAAGACTCAACAAGACGATACAAGACTGCAAGGAGAAGCTGGCGAAATTTGAACTGTAGCCTTGATATGTAGGACTAGAAAAGAACAATGGCCAAATTTGTATAGGTACTGAACCTGACTAAAGATTTATGCGACCGGTAACAAATCATAAGAGGTTTGATTTACTTTAACGTTTTAAAACGCGATATATATTACTTAAAATTTGGCGTTGCGGATGCTTTGCAGCAGCCATGGTCACGAAAATAATATATCGCGGTTTAAACGGTTAAAAAAACCAACATAATTTCGTAAATAGTTTTGAGGTTATCAATATAGTTTCAGCCGTTCGGTGTCCAGCGCTGGACATAGGCCCCCCCATTACATTCCAGTACGACTGGTCGTTCGCTAGCTAAATCCAGCGTTTCCCTTCCTTGACCAGATCGCAGGTCCACCCGGTAGGAGGTCGTCCAGGCTTCCGACGTCCGGTAGAATCAATAAATAGCTTTAATTAGTAATTTTAACTAGTTTTTTCGTTAAGTATATATATAGTAATGTCAAAAGCAGAATTAGTTTATGGGAGGGTAGTTTAAAGAAGTTCTTAAACAAAGTACGAATCAAAATAAACAATAACAGCATGTGTCGTTCCTGAACGTCGTCACGTACGATTTGGCCGTTGTTCTATCTTACCATGGCATGACTATTTTTACTGTATGCATTTAATTTGATTAAGTTTAGAGGTAACGACAACTTAATGAAAAAACATATAAGGCTCATTTTGGGGCAAGGGAGGGGGGTACAGTGCCTCCCCAAGTCCCCGCTTTCCCCCGTCACGAGGCTCATAATTAATTAATGTGAAGGGTAAGAGGGGTACAGTGCCTCCCAAAGTCCCCGCTTTCCCCCGTCACGAGGCTCATAATTAATTAATGTTACGGGTAAATGGGTGACGTTGCCTCCCAAAGTCCCCCCCTTTTACCACGTTACGAGGCTCATAATTATATAATGTGAGGGTAAACAAGAGGTAAAAAAGACTTTGGAAGGCAATGTCCCCCACATTGCCTTCCAAAGTCCCCGCTTTTACCACGTTATGAGGCTTATAATTAATGTGAGGGTAAAGGGAGTGGGAAGGCAAGGTCCCCCCTTTCCGTTGTCACGAGGCTCTCAAGTTTTAATGTGGGGGGACGACGACTTTACTATTAATGTGAGTCGTGTATGGTGTTCCTACATATTCAATTACCATTTCTAAGGACGAATTTACACAAACGTCTATATTTTGTATTAGAATCGATTGCATTTGTTTTGTGATCTCTGCATTTTTTAATAAAATATAGATCGTTCTCGACGTTTTGCTGTCATGGCTCCTGGGTCAAATTAAAACAAAGTATCGCATAAATTGAACTTTATTGTGTTATGCATAAGTGACATTATTAAACATACCCTTTAAGTACATCTGCACAGCATCCGAGAAACATTTAATACGCTTTAACGGTTCAAAACGCGATATATATTACTTAATCTAATTTAAAAATTATTTTATCTACGGCTCGTGACCACGGCTACTGCGAAGCACCCGAAACGTTGCGCCGTAGTTAAACTAATATATACCGTGTTTTAAACCGTTAGTGTTTTATTTAAATGTGTAGTCGCGTAAACTACAGACAGTGTTTACGCTCTGATCTCTTCAATTCCGTTGCTTCAATGCAAAAATATTCTCACGCCAAAATATAACGCTCTAGGAGGACGAACCGCTCTGTCACTTAACTAAGTAGTGCCCGACCGAAGCCGAAAACCTTCGTCTATGAGTCTCTTTCTTTGGGTTCCGCACCTGAGACTTTATTCTCTGTCCGGCAACAGACCGGGGGGGGGTGTGCCTAGTCAAAACCTTTTTGCTCTATATTAATAATGGTAACAGGTGGGCAATTAAAATAATTATAATGTTAAAAAGCCTACAACACATTCCCATTCGGACGGTTAAAAAGGTATTGTGTACAAAGTCAAAACAACAGAACCTTTCCTGCGAAACGCCGACACACACTTGGCCGGTTTTGAAAAATAAGGTGTGCGAAAGAGGTTACCACTTTCGGCTTCGGCCCATTAATTCTCGGTCGGACACTCAATAAATAACATTTCACCTAAATAATGCGTTTGATCACAAAATGTCTCCAAACCGCTAGGTGGCGCTAGTGTTCGGGGCATCTTTAAATGCTTAGTTAGGCAGTGTTGATGCATTGTGACGAAAACGGTGTTAAGATAAACTATGGATTAGAATCTAAGGAGAAACAACAGACAACACAACGCTATAAAAAGGACATGCGCTTGCGCAGGTGACTAAACGATGCTCTATTCTTTAAGAAAAACAAGCATGGTGAAATACCTCAGCTCCAAAGCCAAATTGAGATATTTCTTCCAGACGAAGTCCAACGTGTTCCAAAAAATTATGAAGTGATTGATAACAAGTTTGACCCGGAGAGAATCGAACCCACGGTCCGTGGATTATATTAGTCACCACACATAAGACCAACGAGAGAATTAAAAACCCTTAGCGGTCGCACGCTGCGGATTGTCAAAACCATATATTACAATTTAATAGGAAATGACAGCTCTGCATAGTGTACGAGGCCAAAAACGGACATCAAACATTAATGCACCAATAAATTTTATTTTTAACTCTTATGACCTCCAAAGTCCGCCCGTGGCCTGAAATGGGCACTGACAGCTGTAATGGATCATTTAGTCACCGCATACGGCGCACGCAGCAACAACAAGTGGTTTAAAATTGCAAGGTAACTATCAGAAGAGAAACTACCCTACGAGGTGCCCTTAACTGTAATTGTTCCCTAAATAACTTCACTGTATTTAAATAAAACAGGCTTAAACGGTTTAAAACGCGAAATATTTAATTTTCACTGCTGCCAAACATTCGAAGCGTGATTATGAATTTCGCGTTCTGAACTGTTAAAGGTGTTTTAATTAAATGAACTACTCGCGTTAGGTTAGATATACCACAGTTTAAGAGGACAATACAAACGCGTGGCCATCGGCGATGCGAACGGCGACTAATCGCGCGACTTGTTGCTCTGTACTGATCTGATTCACATTTGTTGACTCGTTGTTCGCTTCTGCGCGTCTTGATTGGAAAATTTCTCGAGGTCGCAAGACGCGTCGCCGTTCGCGTCGCGCGAATTATCGCGCGATTAAACGGCTGTTCAAGTTAGCGATTGAATTTCAACATACAATATCTTACACCAATATTGATATAATACAAAATAAACGTACGTTTCTTAACTAAATAAAAATACTTTCCAATTTACAATTACTTAAGAGCTTATATTATATTTTTACAAGTCTTCGCCGAATCTAAAAATAGTGTCGCACCTCAACATCTCAAGAACGATCGTCAACATATTCAATCGTGTTTTAAACCGTTAAGTGTTCTATTACGTATACGATTGGCTAAAGTTAAGCGGGTGATTTATATACAGGGTGGTGTTTCTTATTCATAAAACTAGTTTTGATTAGCCAAACTATTGTTTTTTATTTCTATGGCACCGAATATCGTTTGTGTATTGAATACAACTACAAGCATTTTTAAACGGTTAAAAACGCGAACCATACACCTCAGTTAACTCACAACCATGGCCTTTGTAACGTCTGATCACAGTTAAACTTAATAAACGAATATAATCCGCGTTCTAAACCGTTTAATTTGTGTATCAATCGCGTTAATTATAGATACGTACTGCCTTTCATGAGATGTCTGTACCACTTAACATTATATAGGCGGTGATCCATAGTAAATTCGAGTAGGAATTGTGTTATATATACAGACACTATGTAACAATGAACAAATTTGCCTAGATCAGAGAGATCACATTTATATAATACTTAACGGTTTAAAACGCGAAGTATATTAGTCTACTAAGTTTAACAACCGCCCGACGTTACCACCCCCAGACCACGACTGCTGAAAAGCATGATTAAGTCGTAGATAAACATTAATACATTTCGCATTTTAAACCGTTACTTTAAATTGAAAAATATTAGACAAGTTAAAACCAACTATAAAAAAGGGGTATGCCCGTCTCTACCCCCTACCCCTAAAATACCTCCTTGGTCTATCTATTCTCTGAAGTGTCCGCTTGTGTCCAGAATGGACATACCCCTTTAGACCAAAATTACTTATGACAACTACCACGCTCTGATCTAGATCAAAAATCTGTAAGTGAGAATAGTTTTTGTTACATTCTGTATAGTTGAGCCGAAATATCATTTTCTAAATAATACAATCAATTTGATAGATGCGCTCCCAACGTGAAACGAAACAAATGTTACGGAACCCCTGAACCGCGAACCCGACTCGCGCTTGGCCATTTTTATAAATATTTAGGTAGAAGTAAATAATATATTTGCTAAATAGATAATGAAGGAGACAAGAAAAATTATAGAAGTGATAAAAGTAACTTTTAAACACAAAAAAGACGGGAGACAGACCGACTCCGTAACGCGTTACGTAACGTAGCACTTGTGAGCATCGCTTCACTATGGAAACACACACTCGTTGAGGAACTTAAGACCATGAAATGCAAATAGAAAAATAGAGCCAAAAAAAATTCAGATTGGAAAAAATAACACGAGCTGTAATCGAACCCAATAAGACGTTCGTGATCTTTATTAGCTCAATCGGAATTTTTAACATGATAAATACGAATAAAATAGAGATAAGTATTTATTGTCAATTATTTAGACTTAGTGTATCGCGCGGAAATCGAACTGAAACCACTTCGAGATTTGCAAAGATAAGATAAAGTGTTATGGGCTGATTTAAAAAAAAATTGTAGTGGATGTTTTACTTTCTCAAAGGATTTAAGGGCGCTAGCATGCGCGATACGACATCAGAGCGAATTTACTTTAGGTGAGCTGTTTTTTAACATCTAAAATGCGCTATCGGCCTATATCGACTCTGGGCGTTCGGAAATCCACAGCGGCTTTTCTATTCGATATTCCCACCGATCCATACCAATAAAATGGTAGACAAACATCTCGCAGTGCGCATGCTAGGCCAGAACGGTCTAGACAGCCATTTTCTTACTATCAGAATCAAGATAGGCTGATATGGCGTGGAACGGGCATATTCCTTTGGCTGGTTCTCAGATCGATTGTGTGTATTGGTTGAATACAAGACCTTTTCTATAATGAATTGACACACTTAGCTTATAAGGCGATATACCCCAGTCATATTTAAGATGCGCTATTGACCTATTTTTGATTTTTTAATTTACATCTCTACGAAAATGAAATGTTCTCATATGATATGACGTTAAATGTTGAGCAAAAGATCCTTCACTCTTCGACTCACCATATTGCAACTAACGATAGAAGAAAGAAAGAGAAATTTAAGTATTTTAGAGGAGAACAGAAGCATGGGGGCTGACTTGATGGAAGGTGATATACCCCAACCGTGCAACATCTAAATATGATGTGTTGTCGACCTATTTAGGCTTTAGACATTCGCGTATAGTGTTAAATAAAATATTATTTCATAGGAGAGAATTTTTTTAATCAAAACCCATTAAACGGTTTAAAACGCGAAATATACTAGTCAAATTATTCCTCGTTTATTTTAAATACAACCCCATTATGATGTAACTAATATTTATCGCGTTTCAAACCGTTGAACGTGTTTTATTTAAATGTACCGCAATAGAGATTATGTTTTTTTTAATCAAAACTTGTCAAAATGGAGTGTTTCTTAATTCTCTTGCTCAGTGAAAGATATAATTGATTAAGTTAATTTTATGCATTAGTCTCATTAAGGATTACCCCCACTTCAATGTCACATCACGAAACGTGTTTCAATACGTGAATAAAGAAACAGACTAGTTATAAATACAGTATTCGAGGAAACACGCTGTATACAAAAAAATCAGTCGAGAGAAATAACTAAACGCGCTTACATAACTAAAAGACACTTAAACCGAAAAAAAATACTGTAAGTACACTATCGCCGTGTGAATGAAAATAAGAATTAATCGACATTTGTACAAATTGGGAACACGTTTCCCACGCGTGGGACTAGGCTGACAAAATGCATATATGTGTTATTTAGACATCTGTGCCTGGCGCGATCGAAACCTATCTTTCCTCGTCATTTTTGCCCCCCCCCACCTAGCTTAAAATAACAATTTTATGTCTATTTTTAAAAGTTAAAGATACAAATAATAATAAAAAGAAAGGTTTTTGACTGTGATAAAAGTTTTATACGGAAGGTATGTACTGAAAAACAAACAAAAGGGTAAACTTTTTTTAGATAAAAAGGTGAATTTTCGTCAAATGAAATTTAATAGAGATGTTTTCTTTTTGTTTTTTAGGAAAAAGGTAAAAAAAAAGAAATGCTGTTATTACTATAGTGATGAGTTAAAGACTTTAAATTTTAGTTTGACAATGTAACAACTACCTTATTTCGTACTTAAAACCACGTAAGCCATTTCGTTACAATTACATTTTGTAACTCCCCCCCTCCCCTTTTGCCGAATAACTATTTTCATTCACACAGTGTCAAACGAGCTGATTCAGTCAGCGCTACGTCTTTGGTAGGAGCTCGCGAGATTATGGCCAACATTCGATTCTCAGTTACAACAGACTAGCATGAAATTCGTTCACCATTCACCATTTGACTCCCCGCTCGATGCATTCATCGTTCAATTCATTCACCATCTGGAAGAATAGTAATTTTTAATTGACCACGTGTCCACAAAAAAATTACATCGTTACCGTGTGTGGGCTATGGGGCGTAAACATCTCTGTGTCCGTTTTATCAAACTAACAGACTATAGTCATAAAAAATATTATTACAATTTTAATTAAAACACTTAATGGTTTAAAACGAGATATATTAGTTAAACTTGTTTTTAACTACGGTCCGACGTTTCAGGTGCTTTGCAGCAGCTTTACAGGAGACTCTTAAACAAGTTTAGCTAATATATATCGCGTTTTAAACCGTTAAAGTGATCTATTTCAATGTGTACTACTCGTGTAAACTACAGACGGTATACAATAAAACGATAATAGAAGTCTGCAATCGGTATATTGTTATGCAAAGAAACATTAATTTAGCGTGATCTAACAGCGATGTCGTTGTCGAGCAGCGCCATCTAGTAGCAATTCGGGTAACATATTTACACCTTTCAATAACCGATTTTATTTACAGGAAAATACTTGCACAGACTTCTTCCGGGAATTCAAACACAGAGCCTCCCGCGCTGCTTCCAATTAGCCCCCCCCCCCCCCCCCCCCCCATATTGAGTTCGATACCCTGTCGTGCACCAGAAGTACAGTAGTCTATTTTTCCCCTTTCGCAGCGAAAGGCCTGAATTGGACAGGTGGAATAATTTTCCCACTTTTTTCACATTTCCCTCTGTTTCTTCCTCTTATTATATAACCTAAAGCCGTCCTCGCTAAAATCGGCTTTATAATATAAGTATAGATTAGGGTAAGCAGACCCGAGTCCCAACAGTGGAATCTATAACAGGCTACAGTCACATACCGTTCACCAATAAGTGTGCAGTCTCAAACAGTCCCCGGCCAGGTCGGCCAACAGAGCCTTCCGTTTGGGCAGCAACGTGAGACCGGCGACCCTGCGCGGGCGCTTCTCCGCCAGCTCGCAGCCGGCCTTGATCCGCCCCCCCTCCCCCATCTCCAGCACTATGAGAGCGGGGCGACCGCGGACCGTGCGTGCGCATACCACGTGCAACGCGCCGTCAGAACGGTCCAACGCTATACCGCCGTAGTTCCCGCGGCCTGTGAGAATTTTTATTATTATATTAGGCAACCCAAAATAAAAAAAGAAACTTCACGTGATATGTGATATGCTTGAATCATAATCGACAGGTCGGGGGTTCGATTTTGTCCAGACTTAACGTGATTCTTTAATCAGTTTATAATTTTTCTGCAGCATGTCGGTGTAAAATATTTTGGATTTATAATTTCGGATTATTGTCTGCTAATATATTGAATATTTAGCTTAAGACCTTTAGGTAGTGCCGCGAGAATATTCTGCAAGTTCCCTTCAGCATCGTAGATCCTCACTGCAACGTCAGCTATGATGATCAGGTCTTCTGTGATGGCTAGGCCACCGACTATCCCCAGGTCACCGTTACCCACCTGAAAAAAACATTTTAAATGATTTGTTAAATGCATAGGACTTTGAACCTCAATGAGCAAGCGTTAAGGTTGAAATTACACTGCGCGAGAGGTGCATGTATCAATAAGTTGAAAAAATTCGACGATGAGGTGTGACGGTAGTTCAATGGGTAGAGCAACAGCACGGAACTCTGTAGAAACCTGTTCATGTTCCGTTTGTGCCGTCAATTTTTTTTCTATCAAAATAGAATTCGATTTATAAAAGTATTTACAAGTTTTTATCAAATCATTAACAATACACGCAAACCGAATTTTCAATCAAGTGTCCACAAAATTACACTGTTAATAGTAATACGCAGAATTCTCTCTATTTTATTTTACACAGCGCATTTCTTATATTTACACGATTAGTTGTTTCGGTCGGACGGGGGACAGAGGCGTCAAACAAAACCGATAAGAAGACACATATAGATAAACGTTCGCCCCAAGCCCCGCAAGGGGCACAATCCAACATTTTCCAATAATTTTTTTCAAACCTAACACGTTGTGGTTGCAGTCTGTAGATTTCCAAAGCCAAAATACTTTGTTTTATGGGTGGGGTATTACACCCCCCCATCAAGCCCCAAGCTAGGTTATCCTTCTCTATCATGAAAAACATTAGACCGTACCTCCCGCTCAATGTTGCCATCTTCGTCGAATATAAAGACCGTCCTCGCCCCGTTATCAGCCACCGCCACTCGCTTCGTATCTATATCGGCAGCAACACATACTGGCTCCACTAAGCGGTCAGATTTTATCGTCCGCAGCGTGGTCCCATCTATGTTCACCTGTAATATATAATTGTAGCATAAAGTAAGGGAATGATTAAAAAAAAAACACTTTAACGGTTTAAAACGCGATATATTAGTTAAACTTATTTGAAAATGATTTTTAACTTCGGCCCGACGTTTCGGATACTTTGCAGCAGCCGTGGTCACGGGGAGTCTCCTCGTGACCACGGCTGGCCGAAGTTAAAAATCATTTTCAAATAAGTTTAACTAATATATCGCGTTTTAAACCGTTAGTGTTTTATTTAAATAATTTGAGGTAGTAACATTACTTTTAATATAAAATCCACTTACCTCTAATTCGAGACATTTCTTGTGAAACACTTCAGCGGTAGTCGATATTGTGTACGTGCTTGGTCTCAGTATCTTTTGGTCCTCTAAGGTTTAGTTTCTTAAACTACTATCCTACCTCTGTAAGGGCTCTGGTCCGCCAATTGACAGCAATGACCCCATCAGCAGTCACGGCGATACCAGTGCAGCTCCGACCAGCTAACCCTGGGAAGATAAAATCGTAATAAGTCATAAAAAAAACGAATATTTGAAAAATTGTGGTGCACATGCAATAACAAAATAGCCAAGTCTCTCCAAGGCCGAATATAAAACACTTCTATCGGTTTAAAAGGCGAAATATATAATTTAAATCATTCTTTATTTATTGTAACTTTCAGTTACTTTGCAGGGACCATAGTCACGGGGGAATGAAAATGGAAGGTGTCCCTGACTAAGAAACGAAACAGATGGCGCTAGCGTGGCAAATTCGAAAAGAAACGCGACAGGACTTCGGCCAACTAGAATAGTTATTTTGGGCACTAAGCTGTCGCCCACCACGTCGTCCGTGTCCCGTCGTTCTTGCTAGTTAATCTTAAAAGATAGACATATAATTATATTCAAACAGGAATCGTTCTCTCATACATATTATTTTTAATATTATTTCAGCGCGTTCAGACAAACAAACAAACTCTTCGCCTCTATATATTAGTTATACATAACATTTGATTAATCGTATTAAATTTTAAACTCTCGAGCCGATTTTATCTAAGAATTCAAAGGTATACATATAGGAACAGTGGTCGACAGTTTGATAACACCAAATCCAAATGATTAACTTGTATACATACTCCGTCATAAACATATAAATATTTAATTACATAATTTGACAACAGATGGCGTTTTTCTCAATTGTAATAAATTTGTGAAAAATTCTCAAAAAATGTGAATATATATAGTCTCACCTTCATTGACTATGTGCGTTTTGAACGCAAAAGTCTCGTCGTCCAAAACTTTCACTCTAGAGTTGCCCGCGTCCAAAACGTAGATTTCCCTTCTTTTCGGACATCTGAAAGAAGAATTACAACAATATTACAATGGTGTAAAAAGCAAAACACGTTGGAGTTAAAATAAAAACTAGTATTACGAGTTTTAAACCGTTAAATGTGTTTCATAGCAAGCAAGAAAATACATTTGGTGTTCTGTCTTGGTCGAAAGTAAAAAAAATCCCTATGCATTTCTATATTCTAGTTGAATATTAAATAGCAAGTGTTTTACAGACGACCACAGACAAGCTGCACTTCTAACTTTCACTTTCTCTTGTGCTGTCTACCTATATTGGTTTTGGACAATCAAAATCAGACTGAAAGCGAAATCTGATTATACTTCACAGCCATTTGTGGACAATGGACCCAGAAAGAATTTAGATATTTGTAACATCCATTTAATATCCAGCTTTTCCAGAAGTCCCACATAATTCAGAGAAATATTTTTTTTAGGCATCGAAACCACAATCCGTTGATTATAAGCCATGCATTGCTACCAACGAGCTCGTCAAGAACATTTAAAAACATTATTATTTTTCACATTTACAAAAGCATTGTAACACATTTTAAGTTTTTTATGACAGACAAGCACTTGATTGTAGGTGAAATACTCCAGCCTGCATCTAAACAAGATGCGCTGTCGATCTATGTCGGCATTTTAAGTTCGGAAATGCACAGACTGAAACCGAAACGTGACTTAGCTTCACGGCTTTTCTGTTTGTTCCCGATAAATTAGAGATATGTATATATATCGGCGCAAAACAGGCAATGCGTTACGTCATCGCTGCACGTGTTCCGATCGGCGTAAACAAGTGACTCACGTCGGTCGCTCCACTGAAATCCTCCACTACGTGCTTATATAAGGCCGTCCGTTGCAGCGCAGGACACTTTTGGAGGGACGGCGCTCTGAGAGCGAACGTCTAAACTATAGCTATTTTTATTAATAAAAAGTGATTTTGGTTTAAGAGCATTGAAGTGTTTGACAAATTGTGACGTCGGCGCTGCCGAAATCACCAATTTTAAAATTCTGCACCAGATGATTCGTCATCTATATTTAATTTATTTTAACCCGACGTCCTCCTAAAGCTGTATATCATCACCTGGCGAGCGCCACCGGCTGACTGAGCTGTTCCTTGCCGGTGCCTCTGGACCCCCACACCAGTTCCGGGGTGGCGTGAGTGGCGACCTGCGCGCGCAGCGGCGAGTCGCGCACCGACCGGGAGAAGACGAGCACGCGCACGCAGATGGCGCCCGCACTCCACGGACGCATTGTAATTCTGTAATTGTATACATAAATATAGTGATGAGTCTGTATTGTCTGTAGTTTAAGCGAGTAGTACATTTAAATAAAACACTAGCGGTTTAAAACACGATATATATTGGTTAAGTTATTTGAAAATGATGTCTCCGTGACCACGGTTGCTGTAAAGCATCTTGAACGTCGGGCCGTAGTTAAAAATAATTTTCAGATATGTTGAACTAATATATGTATCGCCTATTAAACCGTTTAAGTGTTTTATTAAAAGCACACATTAAGTAAAACTGTTATGCTAGCGCCATCTGTTTTGGTCGTTCTGCATATTTGGAGAAACTAGCCATAGTTATGCGCACGCGACTTCGTCCGTTATTTTGGGCATCAAACATTGATTTTGCAAACCTCATCTTTATAAATTATAGCTGTTTGTTACCCACGACTTCGTCCGCGTTCCGACCTTCTAGCAAGTTAATCTTAAAAGATACGCATATACTGGCACGGACTTTTTCGATCATTTATAGTGGAATCATTCTTTTATACATATTTTTTGGTTATCTTGGACTCTCTATTTCTTCACTCCTATTGGCTACAGAGCGATGTTTTAGCGAGAAAAGGTGAATATTAAAAAAAAAATCTTCGTTTTAGACACGATTTTGTCAATACGTGATTGTCAATACAAGGACATTTCGTGGTTTCTGACGATCACCTGTACGTTCCACAGTCCAGGTCTGTCACTGTGCAGGCCAACGGAACATCGTCGAGGGTTGCAGCTGCCGTTACTGGATCTCCACCTGTGCTTCGAGGTTCGCCGTGATAGTCCGTGGTGTGGAGAGACACGACCACTTCTAGACCGCAAACACATGGTGATTCTGAAATTATGAACACAAACATCGTTCAAGCCTTAAAAATAACCAGCAATAAACTATTAAACGGTTTGAAACGGGATATAAATAAAACATTATTGGTTTAAAAAGCAATATATATTAGTTAAACTTATTTGGAAATAGTTTTAATTACGGCCCGACGTTTCGGATGTTTTGCAGTAGCCGTGGTCACAGGGAGACGTTTCCAAGGCTGTTTTAAACCGTTAGTGTTTTATTTGAATGTGTTCTACTCGCGTAAACTACAGATAATATTTGACTGGAAATTTAGAGTTCATAATTTTTTATTATATTGATTGATGTTCACAAGTGTAACCTACATAAATAAATTCGATTTGATAAGGAAGGATTCACTCTTCAACTCTATTTTAGTAATAATCCTAAAACAGACCTAATTGCAACGTGCACAGCCCAGGGTAAGTCGTGCTGGTCCGCACTCTCCCCAACTGCACCAGGGCTTCAGTGAACCTCTGTTGGGCGTCGTTGTGGGCGAAGTCCACGGCCAGAAAGGCATTCTCCCGGGGCTCCGCCAAGGTGGCCGCATCCCCCAATCTAGCACCAAGCGCCGCGGCGCGTATACCGACCTCCCGCACTTCGACCTGCTGCTGAAGGCCGTTACATTCCGCTTCCACCTGGAATTTTTTATTTTTACGTGATTATTATGAATAGTGAGCCAGGGCCGTCAGTAGTCCTTTGTTCTAACTTAGACTAGGCTAGAACAAAGGTACTCCGAGATCGTAAAGGAATTGAATAAATAATCGATTCTAATATAACAAAGAGTGAATTATTAAAATTTTTTAATTGAAAAAATATTTTTATGTTGTTTAGAGCATTTATCGACGAAGGTTTTAAGGCTATAAAACATCACGCTGCGACCGATAGAAGCGAAGACACGAAAGTGGGAAGTGGAATAAACGGGGAAAATCATTCATCTTAAGTTTACGCTGCGCGCGTTGTGCAAACGATTCAAAACGCCCAAAAATATGTAAGAAAGAATGATTTCGCTATAAATGAAATAAAAACATGTCTATCTTTTAAGATTGACTTGTGAAAACGAAGGGACGCGGACGACGTCGTGGTTTATAGGGTAATTTTATCTACGTAGGCCACAAAAGACTATTCAAAAAGTCCAAAACGAATTAACAGAAAATACGCAACGATGTAATCGGTCCAAACGGATTACTTTTGGAAGCGCACTCACCACTGACGAGACCACTATTTCCTCTGAACAAGGCTAAATCGCTACCTGGTTACCACCAACGATCTCTACCCCGACGATATTTCAAAATAACAAGTTGTCAATAACGATTGACTGTCAATGACAGTTTGTCAAACGTCAATGTTGTGATGTTTGAAGCTGCGGGCTTTTGTGTTTGAATAAATCAAGTACTTAAATTTTTAATCCGATCACATGTTAATGCACAGTTAATAAGTTTTTTGCAATGTAACAGTTAGCGCTAGCAGTTAGGTTTGTCATTACCGACATTCTGTGTCTTAAGTTTCCCGTGACCCATGAACCAAAACCGGTTTGTAATTAAACTTATACGAATATTTTTTCGCGTTTAAAACCGTTAAAATTTAGTTTTAGTTGTAGTTAGTTCAGCCTTTTTTCTGTCTATTTCACAGTTGCTTCTTTTTCACTATTTTAAAAATGAAACTACCCTAAAAAAAATGTACTAACACATAATCTATGCTATTAAATTTCACTGCATTCTAAAACAACATTAATATTTCCGCGAGTAGCACTCATTTAAATAAAACAATTTCAATGGTTTCAAACGTCACGCGGCTGCAAATCATCTATAACGCCACGTTAAGTAAACTAAACTTATAATTCGCGTTTCAAACCGTTAAAAGCGGTTTTATTAAATACTTACCTTAGACTTTTCAGCATCGATCAACCTCAACTGATCTTCCAGAAGTTTGCGTTTATGCTTAGTCGCTGCACTAGCGGCCGATTTCAATTCCTTATGACGTTTGTCCAGAGCGCTCCTCAGCTCCGCGAAGTGCCTATCTATCGCGTCGTCCGCAGCAGTAGCAGCCGCGTCTAGCCTCCTCAACTCGCCAGCCACCGTCTCCCTCGCCGTACCCAGCTTACTGAGACACTCGTTCGCTCTGTACAGGAGTATCTCCGACATCCTCTTCAACGCTATCGAGAAAGGCACCACGGTGTGGTCACAGGGGGTGTCGCTGTGCGGTCCGTCCGCGCAGTCCCTGCAGAACACGCAGTCACAGGTCTCGCAGAAGAGCAGGTCTCTGCCCGGATGGGAGCTGCATTGGGGTATCACTTCGCGCCGCTGCCGCGCCATCAGGTCCAGGAGTTGGTTGACGAGGAACGAGGGGGGTAGAGCTGGAACACCCCCTCGGGGTATGGTGATCAGCTCACGGCAGATCGGGCAGCGGAAGCTCCCGGCGTCTCTCGTTTGCGACGCGGCTATTCGTGTGAGGCAGTGCAAGCAGACGGTGTGTGAGCATGGTAGAAGTTTCGGGGTGTGTTCGCCCCCATCGTATGTACCTGAAATAGTATTATAAACACGTTAAAATTACACAAACCCCCGATATAAATGCTGTATGTGGTATACGCGAGTAGTACACATTTAAATAAAACACTTTAACGGTTTAAAACGCGATATATATTAGTTAAACTAATAAACTATGCCTTACACAAAATTGTCTCGACCACGGCTGCTGGAAAGCATCCGAAACGCCGGGCCGTAGTTTAAATAAATTCATAATTTTTTTTAAATTTCAAACAAGTTAAAAAAATTTATATTTCATTACATGTTCATAAAGGCGATATATATTATTTATATTCGCGATAAAAATCTGTGAAACTATTTGGAAATCTGTTATAAATTTATTCCGAATGACTTTGTTTGACAATTGCTGCTTTTTTTTTTTCTTAAATAAATTAAAATAAACCGAAGCCCGAGACCAGTTAATAACACATTGGTACCAAAGAAACGTGCAGCATCACAGCAACACACTGTTATTCTACGATGTCCACTCGTTGGTAGAAGGAACGGGACCGACTCGAAGTTTGGTTCGAGTCCCATACATTATAGATTTTTAAATACAAACAATTTTACACTAAAAATATAATCGCGTTTTGAAACCGTAGTATGTAAAAAAAGTTTTTTCTATTTCTGTGGTTTAAAAGAATATTAAGAATCGTAACGATTCAAAACACGAAAAATACTACTTTAACTGTTTTTAATTACATCCCGACCACGGTCTGTCGCGAAACAAGTTCTCGGGTCTCCATTAAAAGAAGTTTATTAAATATATCGCGTTTTAAACCGTTTAAAGATTTATTTAAATGTGAACATTGTATTGGAAACCTTTACATATATGTATACAATTATTAGGAAACAGTGGAAGATTCCTCTACAACGATGTTTATCTCGAAGGCGATTGATTATAAACACTAAAACTGGAGTGGGGCAAGAAGACAATATTGAAACATGATTCTATGAAGTGTGAATTCTCGATTCATTGCGGGGCATGGGACCGAACACTTGCCTCTGGCCGATTCACTAGATAGAATATATGCAAGTATATTCTTATATGATTAACCGGCACAAATTCCGAGCTCGTATTATAAAATTGAGTATCGTCTGTCGCGAGTAATACTCATTATCAATTAAAACGCTATAGACGATTTAAAATGCGAAATATATGAATACTGAAGATGGAGGTTATCCCTCTAACGATATTTTACCATTTAAACGAGTCAACTTGAACATTTCGCGTTTTAAACCGTTAGAAATGTTTAATTTAAACATTATCTCATTCAAAACTGTGTGTTGAGTGAATGCAATGAAAGAACAGTACTCAGGTGGTCATGCCAAGAGGATGGTGTACTAACATAAGCAGGTGCCGCAGGTGAGGAAGCTCTCGTTAAAGTCCTCATAGTTGATGGAGACCGTCTCGACGAGCGTGGAGCTCATGCTCGCCATGCCGACTCCCAGCCGAGAACTGTCAGAGAGAAGGTAGACATCATCAGGACGACCACAGAGAAGCAGAAGCTTTACTACTATAGCACAGATTATAGGAGCATCGTGATCATTTGAGTGCATTATGCCGGTCCCCTAAATGGGAGGGATACACTTCTGTGCCTGTTTTTTTATCGATTTGTATTTACAGGCTTGTAGTTAAGTTCATTGACCTTCCCAAAAATATTCTACTTATGATAGATAAGTAATTTTTGTTTTGTTTGTGTGTTCGATAGATTACACTTAAATAAAATTATGCAAATAAGGAGGAAAGTTTGTGAGGACAACCTAACACTATAAAAAAGGGGGAATGGGAAATTGGGGGAGGTGGAAGTCCCTAACAAAAGTTATATCATATAATGTGGATTATACTAATTTAATGGAAAAAAAATTAAAGAATCATTCGCGTTTTAAACGGTGAAATATTTTTGTCCTTCTAAAATGTACATTTACTATTAATATTAATGTAACTTTACAATAGTAAAGTGTAAAAAAGATGTCTTAACGTGCTAACGGGCAATTAGCCCGTTAAGACATCGGTTGCGGACATTACTAAGTGGCGCCATGTTAAAGCCCGTCAACCCGTACTGGAGCTGCATGGTGGGTCAAAGCTCTTGCATGTCTAAAATCCTCTCTTACATAAATGAGACTTATGCGTAAACAATAATAGGTTAAAAGGATATTAGTATAACAATTATCTTAAACGGAAATGATGTAGATATTAACAAGAATACAAGAGATAAACACAAGGAAAACCATTTATAATTAGCATTAAAATAATTATATCACAGAGCAAACGTACCTGTCTTACAACGGAGTGAAATAAACTATTGCTCTAAGCTTGCTAAGGCTCTAGTCGTGGCCAAAATAGCTGAATTGGCTTTATAATCGGTATGCAATTTTAACAGTAACATGATATACGGAGTGTAGTGTGTCATGAATCACCCGTTTCGAGAGATCGCTCCTGATTCAATTCATTGCCACAATTGGATGATGAAGTGATTTGTGTGTCTAAATTGTCAGTTTTGTTGATATAAGTACTATTAATGCTGGGCATAGGTCTGCACTCGGGTAAGATTGGGTTTTATGTGTGGTGGGTTTAACAACTATAACAATTTAATTTGTGTTGATAAACTAAGCAAACGGCTTAATATGCAGGAGGCTTTAGACTTTAAAATACCTAAGTAAGCTTTAGCCTTAAGATTAAGACCGGATTAGAAGGATAAATCAATTTGTTGACCACACTTTTGTGCCTGGTGCAACCCCAGCAAAGTTTCCCCCAGGAATCAAGAACTCAGGCAACCAGTAATCATTTAGCCAGGAAGGCAGTTTTATTCCAAAGTATTAGCTTATTTTAAGGAAATTAATGTACGCTATCAAAGTAATACTACCTACAATATTATTGAAGTAAAACAAATTTGGTGCTAGGAATAGAGAAAAAATAAGAGGATTTATTTAGGATCTCTGAGTCGTTTAGATTAGAGAATAAAAATAAAAATAAAAACCTTTATTAAAATTTAGTTACCAAAAATTAAGTGCCACAATTTCATCTTAAATTATAAGAGATAGAGCAATAGAAGATTAAAACATTTTTATTCTGAATTAATTGTGTAAGAAAAGATTATAAGGAAATCCACGTTGCTAGTTCTAGTGTTATTTTATAGTAGAAGATTTAACAATAAATTAAATATAAACATTTACTTGTTAATAAAAAAAAATACTCACAGGAAAGAGCAACAATACATGGACGATAATTGCAAGGCAGAAGCACAGGATACTACTGTCTCATCACTTAATTTCCTAACTGTGGTTTTTAAAACAATTTCATTTTGATGTTATTGCTGGAGTTTGGACTAGTCAAAAATGCAAAAGGCATGCCTAAAAATAACTCGGCGTTCCGAACTGATGGAAGCAACCTCTTCGAATAGCTAGCGGAGCAATTGAAGCATTTATACAATAGTAAATATCTTGATTACAATTACAATAATACAAGTCTTTCGTAACCGATCGATATTAAATGAAGACTTGTGACAAAGAATCGGCTATAATCAACAACGCAAAGTTTATGATATGTTCACTGCCTATTCACACTGTATCGCCATTTGAAGGAGTCCGTCCACCGAAAATATTTATCTATACGAAAAGTTTTAGTTATGTTATACAAGTGTACCCCAAATATTTATTAAAATTATTTTTGTGTCAACCTGCTGTAATCCCCCGCCCCGCGACCCACGTCTCGCATTACTGCTGTGTCAAACTAGACGTCAATTGCAATACTGCAAACGTCAATTGTCAATAAGTTTTGAACATGTCAATTGTCAAATAATTGACATTTTTAAATAACCTGTGGCCTAAAATATAGGTCGATAAATATTCGATTCTAACGCTTTCATCTTTTGTTTATAATAAAATATACAAGATTAATAACATACCGTAGCGGTAACTTTCATAGGACGGTCACACATATGTATGATAGATATATATGTAGACTTGAACAGCATAAGAAGGAAAACAAAGTTATCTCGCAAAAATTATCAAAAATTATTATCAGTAACCAAAACATGCATTTGTAGATAATTTCATACCGATTGTCAGTTTTGATATTTTGGCGTCTGGATACAATGTGCGAGTAGGCGAATACCTGCGTATTATACATAATTTATTTCAAGGTCTCATTCATTCAATTTAGACTTCCTAAATATATCTAATACGCGTATATGAAGCTGTCACAAGACGCTTCTAACAGTATAGGTGTTTAAATATTTCATTAAAAGAGAAAAATCTGAACATAGTATTAATTATGATGAAATTAGCTTTAAGCTCGTCACGGATCAATAAGCCTCAACTGCTAGAAATAAATAGACTAAGGTACGTGAATTTTTGTTTGTTTCTCTTAAGCTTATTAAACACTTCATCAATCTTTATTATTCCCATTTAAGCAGCGACCGCAAAGAACACTAGATGTTTGTAAATCATGTTTCAGAAATCGCAACTAGTTCTAAAATTATACAAGAGATGGCGCTACAAGAAAATATGTTGCTTTACAAATTAAAAATGCGTTTCAATAATTATAATAATAATTTTTATCTTTCCAGTAAAGTAAATTTTTTGATTATTCCTCAGCAATAAATATCTTCACTTACGAAACACATCAACACAGTCGCCAAAGCCATTTGAGACAATACCTGGCTTATCGTCTTTACCTATTTTGGGACCATTGCACCATTTTTTACCTATCGTTGGTAAGTTGAACTGTGCTTCTAATATTAAGACATCACTATGACATTAGTTCTGTACAAACTCAAATATAAAAAAAATTGTTAACCCAGACCTGCGTTAAACAGCGTTCAATGCTACCTATCAATACGATCCTAATCACAATAGAGCAACAGCAGGGAACGCTGTAGAAATAGCCAGTTCAAGTCCCGATCGTGTCGTTTTGTTAAATCAACAGCGCCATTTGATAGAACAGATGGCGCTAGCGTAGCAGTTTTTTAATTTGACGTCAGAGACTCCATCGATCTTTAGTCTCCCCGTGACCACGACTGCTGCAAAGCTTCCAAAACGTCGGGCCATAGTAAATAAATTCCAAATAATTAATTATATATATGGCGTTTTAAACCGTTAAAGATTTTATTTAAATACATATTTTTTATAATGATTCAAGGGTCTCTCGGACCACAGAGGACATTCTACGACCTGTCCAAAGTGTTGTACGACAACTTTGGTTCTATCGTAAGGTTGAGTGGTATCTTCGCCCGCGCAGATTTCCTTGTCCTTTATGACCCTGAAGATTATGACCAGGTAACGACGTCCACATCTATACTAATATATAAAGCTGAAGAGTTTGTATGTATGTTTGAACGTGCTAATCTCAGGAAATACTGGTTCGAATTGTATTCTGTGTGTTGTTGGAGCATTTAACGTTAACACTTCAATAGCAAGGACACAGGAAATGTGAAAAAAAGGGAAAACTATTCGTCCTTGTGATTCGATTAACTTTCAAGAACGACGGGGTGCGGGCAACGTCGTGGGTAACAGCTATATTATTTATAAAGATGTAGCGGTTCGCAAAAACTAATTTCGATGCCTAAAATAATTGTTCTACGCGGACGAAGTCGCTGACACAGTTAGTGTTATCTATGTGGCACACAACCTAAGATGGTCCATCTCGAGCTGGTGAAATGTTGCACGCATTTTAAATTTATAATAGTAAAGACTTAATTTAGAACATCCGAAGCCAAATTAGGGCGACATCGCATCTATTATAGATGTTATATAGCTGGGGTATTTCTCCTACCATCACTTGTCTGCCCCCCTCTATCATAAAAACGACAATTTGAACAAAAGCTTCTGTTCTCGAAACGAATACCTACTTAAGTTCAATAGTCTATCGATAGGTTTATCTTAATGAGATGTGCTGTCGACCTATGTTTGCTACGAAAATCAAGATTGTAATCGAAACTTCGCGGCGTTTTAATGTGTTAAGTGTTTAACTTGTCAGAATATTCCTATAACCTTAATAATGATTCTTAACTGTTTACTTTAAACGGAATTTAAAATACCTAATCTCAAAATTTATTTACAGGTCTACAGAGCGGAGGATGTGACTCCATCTCGTCCTGGCTTCCAAACCCTCATATATTACAGAACTGAGTTAAAGAAATCCGTGTATGATGGCGTTTACGGTTTAACTACCGCGTAAGTATTGTGCTTTAAAAATTACATTTTAAGTAAAAATCGGTAAATAAACTTTTAAGTTAAACGGTTTACTTTTTGTGCACTGAAAATTACAAAAAAAAATTGAAATATTTATTTCATTTGATATGTAATCCGCCATTTTGTATCGGCGGCCATCTTGGATTTATAACGTTATTTTATTACTTATATTGTATTGTCGTCTAAATTAAATGTGTGTACCAAAGTCCAGATCATTCTAAGAACGGGAAGGTGCTTGAATTTCAATTTCTAATTTTGACCCAAATAAATAAATTGCGTACGGGTCGAGCTAAATAAAACCGTTTAAAAAGAAAATTACTTAAATATTGTATGTAGTTTAAGCGAGTATGTACTACACATTCAAATAAAACACGTTTTAACGCTTTTAAAGGCGATATATATTAGTTAAACTTATTTGAAAATGATTTTTAACTTCTGCCCGACGTTTCGGATGCTTTGCAACAGACGTGATCACGGGGGTCTCCCCGTTTTAAACCGTTAAAGTGTTTTATTTAAACTTCCTTTTACTGTAAACCATCTTGTGAAATAAATGATTTCAGCGAAGGCGCTCAATGGAGGGACTTCAGAACGAAGGTCAACCCTATATTTTTAAAACCAAAACTTGTAAAAATATACACTCCAGCTCTAAGCGGAATCGCCGATGACCTGGTCACGAGGTAAGAATCTAGACTTGAAGTAAAGCCAACTTAGAGCCTAGATTGACAAGTCATTCTCCTAAATTTGTTTCTTTATGATAGAGAAGAACAGGCAAGCATGGCGTCACTTGATGGTATGTAGAATACCCAGCCTATAGCATCTGAACAAGATATGCTGTCGACCTATCATGGCTTGAGATATTTGTAAGCTAAGACTAAATCCGATGCGCGATTAATTTCGCTTTTACTTCCCCCCCATCTAATATCCTACTTCCAGACGGATTCCAACTTTTCCAGAAAAGTATAAATTTATTAGACGTTCATTCTAGCATTACACCCACGGATTGTCATCTATTTGATAAAGTAGTGTTGTAATTAACGCAAGTAACCTGAAATAAAACATTTTTAGGTTAAAACCAAATACCACGGTATGCCACCGGGTTGCTGCAAAGCACCCGTAACGTGGGGTCATAGTTATATGTACATCAATAGCACAAGAAGAAGGATAAAGTAAAATATCACGTTTTAAACCGTTAAACGTGTTTAAAAATACATTTATAACCCGGCGGGACTCGAACCCACAACAAAGCGTGCCGTGCTGCGCTTACGCGGTAACTCATTCGGTATTTAATTTTAAATGATTTTCTGTAGCCGTCCTATTTTTAATACAGATTTATGAAACTGAAAGACGATACTGCAACTTTGAATAAGAATTTCGATGAGGAGATCACCAAGTGGTCACTGGAGTCAGTGGCGTTCGTGGGGCTGGGTTCAAGAATTGGGTGTTTGGAAGACGACCTGAAGGACGACGACCCCGCTAACACGCTGATTCTGTGCGCGAAGGAAGTTTTAGAGTACACTTGGGACTTGGAGTTTAAACCGAACCCTTGGAGATATTTTCCCACGCCCAGCTTCAAGAAACTCATGAGGACTTACGAAAGACAGTGGGAGTAAGTATCTATAAAAATATATAAAGCTGAAGAGTATGTTTGAACGCGCTAATCTCAGGAACCACTAGTTCAAATTGAAAACGAGGAACCTAGGCCTGGAGGGGGTTTTGCAAAAAATTTTAATGCACAAAATAACTATTCAAAGCAGACGAAATCGCTGACACAGCTAGTTGGAGATATTTAACACACATTTATTGTACGTATCGTAGATTCGATTCCCAGCGAATACAACATGTGCATTTTTTTTTTTTTTTTTTTTTACACTGGAAATCATAGGACGCCGGTCCGTGACCCGGATAGTATTTCCATATTCCTACCACCAATTTAATATCCTGGGTTTCCAGGTAAGTCTTACATAAAAAAATAAATTGTTTATTGTCTCTCTCTTAATAATTAAATTACAAATAGTTTGAGCTATGCCAAAAGTTTATTACTAACTTGTGTTGGAGCAGCCTCGCTCTTTCCCGTATTATACATATGGAGTTTTTTTCTCAAAGTTTTATTTTTGTTCATTCTTTATAACTTTTATACACAGTTAAATAAGCCCTTTTCAATGGTGTAAAACGCGAAGAAGAATTTTAACTACCGCAATGCCGTCACGGGGGGGATATGGAACACTCTCATCTCCCTCCCTTCCCCCGTACCCCTAATTCGAACTCTTACATATTAAAAAAAAATGTCAATTGTTTTTTTTGGTATATGTTGGACAGGGAGGGAAAATCGACCCATTAGTGATGGTCAGTTGAGTTCCAATAATTTTTTTGATCATAAACGGATTTCAGTACTAGTGCTCTATTCATAAAAGAAGCTAAAAGACAAATAGAAGAACGAGACCACGATGTGCCGGATGAGGATAAGAGCATCATCGAGAAGCTTCTGGCAGTGGATGAGAAGGTGGCTGTAATGATGGCTAATGAAATGTTGCTGGCCGGCATTGATACAGTATGTTGTATTGTGTTAATTTTAACTCCATTTAAGCTAATCGAGATATAAATACTCTATGTAGTAGAGTACGTTTAAAACGTCGGTCCGTACTTTAAAAAAATATATAATATATTTCGCATTTTAAACCGTTGAAAGGATTATATTTAACTGTGCACTACTCGCGTAAAGCACAGACACTACTTGTAACGGTTTAAAACGCGCATTTTACTCGTTAACCTTTGACGAACTTGTTGATCTAATAGCTGATAGTGAAGACATGTGTGGCAGGTTTCTCACGAATCTCCATCTACAGATGAAAAACCCGAGAAGTTAATCGAGTTTGTGTTTCAGTCTTTGGATTTCCGAATATTCAAAATCAAAAATAGGTCGGCCGCGCATATTCTTTAGATTTTGTATCGCAGGGGGATTTTACCTTTAAGTGAACCTATATCTATCAATAAAACCTCTTTTAAACCATTAAAACTGATTTATTTGAATGTATACTTTCGTTACTAAAGACAATTTAATCGTTAATAATTTTTAGGTTGGCTTTGCAGTAACTTCCGTTCTATACAACTTGGCGATAAATCCAGAAGCTCAAGGAAAACTTCGAGAAGAGATCCTCACCGAGAAAAGTAAGAGATATTTGAAAGCGTGCATCAAGGAAGCACTTAGACTCTATCCCGTTGTGTCTGCCAATCTGAGACGAACTACAAAGGACCATATTGTGAAGGGGTATCTTATACCTCCAGGGGTACGTACTTTTACTTCTGATATGGCCACTGCTTGGGGGGTGGATAAGACTGTGCGTCAAAAAAATTACAAGAACATATTTCGTTTGAAATAAAACAAGTTTAACAGTTTAAAACGCGATATGTTAGTTAAACTTATTTGAGATGAGATGAGATGCTTTGCAGCACTTTTTTCCCGTGACCCGAAACGTCGGGCCGAAGTTAAAAATCATTTTCAAATAAGTTTAACTAATATATCGCGTTTTAAACGGTTAAAGTGTTTTATTTAAAAATGTTCGGTTTTTATCGGGCAAGTAAATAAGACTTCCGTTCCCAGTTTGACGGAAACTAATGAACGGGTCCTGAGATTCAAACCCGAGACGTCTCAAACCTAACCAACGAGCATTAATTAATCAATGAGCTACGTAAATAAGATTTCCGGGCGCCGCTGGATCGATATCAATTATTGGTTACTAAGGATTCGAATCTGGGACGGCTCCTGCTTAGCTAACAAGCATTTAATCAATGAGCCACGGAGGTGGTGTACTTTCGTTTGAAATTATTAAATTGATTCAAACGTTAGTGCAATCGATGGCAAATCCAAAGGTCCTGAATTAGGAAATGAGTTATTTTTTCTTAGAAATCACTAGAAAGTACCAGCAAGGAGCTTGGCGAGGTGTCACCACCATGCGTCCAAGAGTTTTTAGTGATTATTACTTACACGACCGATAAAAGACCAAATCAGACCACGTTATCCTCTAACCGTTTCCCCTTCCCCCCCACTTTACGTAATTAAGTACTTAACCATAAGTATTTAGGGGTAGTAATCAAAACCTAGTATTGGATAGCGCTGAGAACTAAGCTATTAAAACGCTCATGTTTACGAAAACCTAAGCCAAGTTTTTAGACCTTCAAAACTTTATCACAGGTGGACGTCATGGCTCCCAACGAGTTTCTCAGCAAAATGGACAAGCATTACCCGTCACCGAACGAATTTTTACCAGAAAGATGGTTGGCAGAGAAATCGGATCCTCTATACTATGGTAACACCCATCCCATGGTGACCCAGCCTTTTGGCTTCGGTGTGCGATCGTGTATAGGCCGACGGATCGCTGAATTGGAAATAGAAATTTTGATGCAGAAATTGATTCGCGATCTACACGTGAGCTGGACTGGCCCACCGATCCAAGTTGGGACGAAGGTCTTGAACGTGTTCAAGAAACCTTACTACTTTAAGTTTGAACAGATTTAGTTATTCGTTTTGGTGAGCTGTTGACGATGAAGACGACAGCCAAGCCAGGGGTGATGGAAGGTGATATATATAAACAGGATAAGTTATCGACCTATTAAGGTCTTAGGTCTTTATGACAGAGATCTAAGATATGAGAGAGAGAAGAAGCATGGGATTCATTCGATTGAAGCTGAAAACCCCCCACTGCAATATACAATTTTAAAAGATGTGTTGTCGACTTATTTTGGCTTTGTATAATCGTAAATTCATAAACCGCAACCGCAACACTATTAAGAACCTTTATACCCTAAACGCGCAATTCGGCTTAAAACTGGGTTTTTTAAACCTGTTAATATCATCAACCACTTATCATACAAACATGTTGATTACTTATATGTTTAGAAAATTTCACTGTTTAAAAACTTAATAGAAAAAAAATCACGACTTACGCTGTATATTTTAACACAGGTTTTCTTAAATCTCGCTTTAGTATCATTTTCGAGGCTTAAAATATATGAAACTACTTAAAGATGTAATTAGGAAACACTTGTAACCTGACGATAAGATCCTTAACGAAATACTTAGTAGAAAACATTTTTGAATTTCGCTATAGAACAATGAAAATAAATAAATTCTAGCAACGTGAAATATGAAGGAATTACAACGTTTTATTTGACTATATGTCTCGTGTAATGTAATATTAAAATAGTTCTATGCGATAGAAGTAGTCTTTCTTTAATATATTTACCTTAAAAAATCTATCTATTTGTTATAATTATTTTTCTGTAATTATTTTAAAATTACTAGAAATCGATGCTCGCAAATCAAAATATATGAGTTATTATTTATATAATTACTATTTATACATATTTTTACCTTCTTTAAAGCTCTGTATACAAACGATTTCCACGATTCAATTTTGTCTACTACAATAGGAATCGATTAAACGACACTCTCAAGGATCGCGTATGGATATCTCTATTTGGTTATTTCGTCAAAGCTTCATACATATTCGGCAATGTTCGGTAAACAGAAGGGTGTCTCGGTCACTCCTTGGCGTTTATTTCGTTATCTCTGTATTGAGCGCAGTCGGTTAGAAAAGCGATTGTTACAGTTAAATTTAATACTATTACATATTTAAATAAAACACTTTAACGGTTTAAAACGCGATATATTAGTTAAACTTATTTGAAAATGATTTTTTACTTCGGCCCGACGTTTCGGATGCTTTGCAGCAGCCGTGGTCACGGGGAGGCAGTATTTTACTATTACATATTTCTGTTTTGTTATATCTTTGTTTTGTCTCAGTATTTTAGTGAAAGATTGAAAAGCCCTTATTGACTCTGAATCAATTATTGGTATGTTATTTTTGCTTGCTATATGAAAAATCTTTACTTTTTTTTTTAATCTATCCCAGTAGCGAAAATAAATGGCAGTATTAGTTTTCTTTACGAGTGTACATGCGGCAGAGTTCGTCTAAACCAGGGATGGGCAAAATACGGCCCGCGGGCCGGATCGGGCCCGTCAGAGGTAAAAATTCAAATTTTACCATACTATTTTGAACTTAAAATATTTTATCTACACTTAAAACATAGAAATATCGTACTATTTATAACAATACTGCTAAGGTAACATTTTTAATGAAAATGTATAGAAATAAAAAAAATACATATATTTAAGTTTCAAAAAACAATGTTTTAAAACTTTACAGCCTTGCCCTGAATGATATTAATTGACCGGCCCGCGTCAATATTTTTTTTTGATTTTCTGGCCCGCTTGAAAAAAAGTTTGCCCGCCCCAGGTCTAAACTATGTTCAGACTTGCCAAGTTACGGCGGCCGTATTATATTATCATAAAATATCACTTTAGATATATATAAATAAAATTTCTTTATTTTCGTCGAAAAATTTTCAAATCATTTTTGACCTAGGTGATCATATTCCAAATTATTTTCAAACTATTCTCGGTTTATTTTCTGAACTATTGTCTATTTATTAGTGGCGAACCGTGACGCAGGATCGGCGGAAGTGGCGTTCTCTTGTTGTGAAGGCCAAGACCCACTTTGGGCCGCTGCGCCAGCGGAGTAAGTAAGTAAGTCTAGTTATTAAGAAGCCATACAACTACCTATTTTTCACCATCTACCTCTAGTGCTGATTCTGGTCCAGGGTTTTTTTACTCTAAATCTAAATTCAAGGGCAATTGCAGATAACAAAACAGACAGGTAAAGACTTTTCCTTGAAAGTTGAAAAAATAGATTGTTATCATGAATGTCTGAACCAGAAAATATAGACCCACGAAAGTCCAGATAGATGCCGCTGAGAATTACTTTTTACTAATTTTTATATTTATCTTTTAAAATACATATTACATTTAAATAATTTTTAAATCCGAATAAAATGCTTTATTGAGCAGTAAAAAAATATGAACTGATGATATTGTTGTATTTACTGACAACTACGTACGCCCTTAAATCTTGGACAATTAATTTCATTATGTATCAAATAAGATTCGCCCAACTCACGCACACTCACTCTTTTGCGTCTGTGTGCGTGTGAAATACATAAACTTGACATCGCGCAAAAGGTGTAAACGCTCTTAAATTTTACAAATATTCAATCTGTTGAGTTCGATGTAATTTCCTTTTACCGTTCTGTTTATTCATACTAATTAAAATTAACAAATATGTATATATATATATATATATATATATATATATACATATATATATGTCGCTTCTCTATTTCATTCTTTTAATAAAACCACAGTTGATTTTACATTATATATATATATAAATAAACATATTTACCATATATAACTTTATTCAGACTTGTACAAAGTGATGGGAACCTGTCGCAAATGCCCTCTCAAGCTAGCACCCTTTTTATAACAATTTCTTCGGGTGGGGTCTTGAATGTTGCCAGATGTTTGTCGCTGCCCATCATATCTGTTAATATTAAAATAATGTTGCCGCCGTCATATATATATATATAATACAACCCGCTGTCTTTATAAGTACATTACATACATTGCTACCATTAGAAAAATGAGTTTGTTAATTTAATTAATTGTATTTTTTATCATACACTATCTAACTAACACTCTAACACTATCTAATACATATTTTTACAATTGAGCCCCTCCCAGAGCATTTGTAAAATACCCGGAATGTGTGTGTGTATTTTTTATAAAACATTTTTAACTGTTTAATATGCGGAATACAATAGTTAAACTGTTTACAACAACAGCTAAACAATATAAAAATAGTTAAGCTAACTATGATCATATGTGAGGGATTTTGTCAAAAAATCTTGTCTGATTCAGTTAAAATGAAGTGTTTGTTATAGAAATTTATTGTATTGTATATTAATTATATGTTACAAAAAAATTAACTATACATACTCAACTGTATAAAACGTGTTATTTACTGCAATGGCTTCCTATATTTCGCTTGTATCCAAATCCTGTACATAGTCAACTTCTTCCCCCTATTCACCTGAAGACGTCTGTCTATCAAATTCTGCTCCTCTAAAAACCCAGCCTTCTTAAATAAACTTGAAATCTCCTCTTGAGTGAAGAAGTACACCATGGTTTTGTCTCCCCTCGCATAGAAGTTCTCAGATATGCATCTTCCTTTCTTAAAGCGGAGCTGAGCCAAGTCATATTGACCATAATCCCGAAACACCACTAAACCACCAGGTTTAAGGTACTTAAATATGTTTTGGATCACTCCTGGCATTCTGAAAGGAATAGATATATTAATAAGATATATGCTATGCCAAGCCAAGTTCAAGTAACACTGAACGAGAGACATTGTGTCATTTGGAGCCAACTCAGATCATAGATACGTTAATCTCCTGAGTTATACGAAGAAATTATATTTTAAGTTGACATATAAAATGAATTCAGGACTCACCAATGAACTTGGCACCAATAAATATTGTCTAAAATTTAAATAAAACATTTTTAACGGTTTATCCATTTTAGTAAAATATACTGCGGCCCTGATCTCGGGAGTCCGGTGATGGTATCCCTTATGTTAAAGTAAATTAAACGTAAGTTAACCAATATGTTTCGCGTTTTTAAACCGTTTAAAGTGTTTTATTTGAACTTATTAAGATATGATTTCTTTTATTGTTGAAGCCAAGGAATATATTAAACTGCTCTAATCTCCAATTAATTTTATAAAAAAATAGTGTTTTTGATTACAAAGTACTCAATTATTAGGAAAGATTGGTCACCCCGAAAAAAATTACCATATCTATACTAATGTATAAAGCTGATGAGTTTGTTTGTTTAAACGCGCTAATCCCAGGAACTACGGGTTCGAATTGAAAAAGCTTTTTGTGTTGCTTAAAACATTTATCGAGGAGGCTATAGGCTATAAAACATCGTCCTGTGGCTAATAGGAGTGAAGATACAGACACATACGGGAGGTGTGACAAAAATTGGGAAAAGTATTCATAATTATGGGTTTCCGAGGCGTACGCTGCAAAAACGGATCAAGATATCCAAAAAAATATGTATGAAAGAATGATTCCTCTTTAAATGATCTAAAAAAAAGTCCACGACGCTATATGTCTACCTTTAAAAATTATCTTGCGAGAACGACGGGAACGGACGCGTTCGACGTCGTGGGTAAACAGCTAAGTTTATAAGGAAAAAGGGGCTTGCGAATTTGGATGCCCAAAATAACAAGGCGCGAACGAAGTCGCTGACACTAGCTAGTTTCTCATAAAACAACATATATCTATATATACATCGTATCCATTACACGGCAAGTACATCACGTTGCCCATCTAAGATAAGTAAACACTAAGAAAATTTTCCATTTAATAAGTTTTCTGAGACTCGAACCCAGAACTTCTCATGTGCAATGTAAAAACAGATTTTGGCTAATTAAACTATAACTCACTTTGTAGGGTCAATAGCAGATAACACAAAAATTAACACAATGATATCAACAGAGTTCTCTTCAAACGGTACGTCCCAATCCTGATTTGTTGCATCAAGGACAAACACTTCACATCTCTTCGTATCGTACAATTCGTTTTCTTTCATAATCTTAACGGCTTTAGATGAAAAATCACAGCCGTATACGAACAGATTCGGATCTTGGCTGTACTGTAGTATGGGAAATATGGTATTGCCCACCCCACAACCAATTTCAAAGATGAACCTTTTCGATGCAGGTGAAGTATTATTTGGGATTTTGGTTTCATTAGTTTCACCGTTGGGATATACCCTGCATGGAGCTGAATTGTAGTCCGGTGCTAGCTCGGGAAACTCGGTGAATAACCAGTGTCTGTCTTTGAAAAATCTGAAAATTATAGGTATATTTATATTGAAACCATGACACAATTTTAATAGTGTCTGTACTACTACCGTAAACTACAGATAGTTGAGGCGACTAGTACACATTTAAATAAGACACTTTTAACTGTTTACAACTGGAAATGTATTTGTTACATTTATATACAAATTATTTTACCGGAAATGTATTTGTTACATTTATATACAAATTATTTTTACTGGCCGGACCTTATCAAGTGCTTTTTAAACGGCCGTGATCATGACTTTTGCTAAGCATCAAGTACTAAAAAAGTTGTTGAAAGTGTTTATATTTGTTGTTCTTACAGAAATACACATACATCTAAAAGCGATTCAAGTAAATCATACAAATTTAAGTAAAACACTTGCAACTCGATTACAAAATAGGTAATGTCAATTTCCCATATATCAGTCATCTCAAAGAGATTTGCTCTTTTCCGCTTTACTTATATAATTAATTGTTTGCTATCCTAAGATAAGTACTTTTCTCTACTTAGGGGTGGCCCAAACCTCTACTCCAAAATTGATATCCAAAATAATAATTCTACGCGTACGAAGTCACGTGACTCAGCTAGTAATCATAGAAGTTAGGACTGTGGATAGCTTTTCTCCATAAAATTACATGCTTACATCGGGTTATGAAACATTACCTGTTTTGGTGAATATCATAAAATTCATCCCAATGTTTGTCTGCATTTATATCCAAATCCTTCAAGGTGTCTTCAGTAAATGTTATATGGGAGTTTAGCTTAATTTTCTCCTGCGCTGCCTTTTCTTGCTCAGAGTCCCACTGCACATTGTCCCTGAAAAGAATAGAAAATTAATGAAACATCGCTTATATGAAGGCTGCATTAGTATTTTATATATTAGGTAAAGGTTTATGCACCGGACATGAAATAGATACAATACATTACTATTTTGTAAAAATCACGATGAGTGGTGGGATTAATTAAATTTCATCCAGGTCATGAATAACTGTCTACTTTTCAAAAAGTAGTGATAATTAGTCGCATTTCGGTCTAAATTTGTAACTTTCCGAATATCCAAAGCCAGAACGGTTCGACAGGGTATCTTGTTGAGATGTTTTATTGCTGTGGTATTTCACTTTTCTTTAAATGAACAGGCTTGCCTGCTCTCTTGCATCATAAATAACGAAATTGGTTATAAGAAAGCTAGTATTAAATAAGGGATTATAGATAAATACTATCTGTAGTAGAAGTACACATTTAAATAATCACATTAACGGTTTAAAACGCGACCCGCGAGCACAGCTGCTGCAAAGCATCTGAAACTATATATTTCAAATAAGTTTAACTAATACATGTATTGCGTTTTAAACCGTTAGTGTTTTATTTAAAAGGGATTAGAGTTTATCAATTAAGTAGTGATTTATGTACCAAGCATTAAATAAAAACTGATCATTCCTATCTTGTAAAAATCGTGAGCCACCGGGAGGCTTTTTTCGGTGCCTTGTACTCTCTAGAGCCAGTAACTTATCACCAACGCTGCTCTTGGAGCTTCTAAGCGAGATATAAAATACAGTACCAAGCATTGTGTTTAAAGACCTCGTCCACATTTTCGAGCAATCGGTTTCCGAATTGCGGTCTTTTGATCTCCTCTCCCATTTATTACAAAGCGTAAGTTAAATAAACAAAAATACAACCTATACATATGAAACACAATAACTGAAATAGAATATCTTTAGAAGTGTCAGCTGTCATAAGCTCAATCTGTGTTGTGTCAGCGTGTATATATGAATATATGGCAATTGACAAAAATCCCTTAAATTGTTGATTTTTAATTGCAGCATTATTTTAAAATGTCTTTAATTGTTATTTCTTATTGCACATTTGCACACAATATCTGTTCACTACGATATTTCACTAACCACAGTCTGTTTTATAAATTATTTTTAAAATGTCTTAGCCTCCTGCTGAAGCACGCTCTCTTCCAGTTTAGATATTCTGGATTCCATATTATCTAGCCTACTTGTGAAGGAGGCAATTGCGTTGTGGGTTGAGAAGATATTATTTTCTGACTTGAAATCGATAATAATCGTGCGAAGGGATAAGATTTGATTTTTTAACTCTTCGAATGACTCGGACGATGAAGCACCGACGTCCCTGGATAAGGCTAAAGAAAGTAGAAACAATATTTTTTCGAACTTGGACTTACTGCTTTTGGGCAACATTTGTGCGATAATTACAGTTTATTCGTCGAACGCCATCTAGAGCAATTGCAAAGAACTTCGCACATATAGTGCATTTGTTAGATGGATTGGGCATGTCGTTGGAGTAATTAATTTTATATTGAAATTCAAACGTGAATCATTAGATGGCGCTATTATACGCTTTTGCTAGATTTTAACTCCGTTTAAGAAAGTGAGCCAAACGCTTGCACTATCTCTATTGATTAAACCTTTTTCATCTCCGATACCAACAATGCGGGTAGTGCACATCGGCAAAAGTCATTTGTTGTCAGACACGAAACAGCTGATTTCAATATAGTCCCTTATCTCTCTCAAAACAACGTGTTACTATATTATGCACTTTGTTCATCGAATAATGAACCCACAAATAATATTAAATATACAATTAATACAACAAAACTGTCACTCTCGAAGCCGTGACGTCACGAAGTTAACGTAATAAGGTTATAAAAAGTCTTCTGGGGTATAAAAATATTTATATGTATTACAAAGAAGTTAAAAGTACCTTTTAATTTGATCCTAGTTTCATGCCAGTAGTGTTGTCTGTAACTTACGTTAGTGACGATGAAATTAAACGGTTTTAAATGCGAAATATGCATAAGTTATTGAACTTTGAATCACAGCTTCTGTAGGTGAAATGGTGAAACGATTAATGATATACATATTATAAAGTTGAAGAGTTCGTTTGTTTGTTTGAACGCGCTTATTTAAAAAACTACTGGTTCGAATAGAAATAATTTTTCGTGTTGGTTAGAGCAATTATCGAGGATAGGCTATAAAACATCGCGCTGTGACAAAAAGGAGCGAAGAAATAGCGAGGAAAATTATTCGTCTTTGTGGTGGATACCCATGCTGCGAAAACGGTTCAAGATACTCAAATAGTATGTATCAAAAAATAATTAATAAAAAATGTCTATCTTTGAAGATTAACTAGCAAGGACGACACGACGAGCTTAAATTTATCAATAGATGATGTCCAAAATATCTATTCCTCGCGGCCGAAGTTGCTGACAGAGTTAAGTAAAAATAAATAACATACAATAGTTCCTGTTTAAACGTTAAATACCCCGTTTAACATAATATATGGGCTAGCATATATCCCGTTATAAGACATAAAAATTCCATATTCAGCAAATATCGTTAATTTGTTATCGAACTTCGTGTTATCGCCCCATTAAGTGACATTCTGATGCTGTACCGTGTTCAAAGCAAACATCATAAAAACGATTCCTTGTGTCATTAACGACTACCCGCAGACGAAATAGCTGCGCCCCGAAAATTTATCTCTCGAACTAACTTCGCCGAGTTGCGACCGTAAATAAGATTTTGCACAGACGCAAAATCCGGTTATGAATTCAATACACAATAGATAATAAAATTAGCGTTTTATTCACGCCGCGGTTTATTGCTTTGGTATTACTGGTATTAATACAGTTTATTACAGTTTAGCAATGAACGCGTCGCGAGTTCGATTTCCATCGGATGAAAGTGTCTTTAAAATCTGAATAACTAACTCCCGAGTAACCACCACTAATAGATGAAAACACCGTATAGCTTAGTCCCGTTTTTCGAAGATTTATTTCGCGTTTTAAACCATTATATTACTTTATGTTTCGTTTAGAACCTGTCGCCATAGCAGTCGAAGTCAATGATGTTTCTGAGACTTTTTGACATAAAAAGGCCTCCCCGATGGCAATATTGACTCTTATGTATGACGTAACGTCTAAATAGAAAAAAAACAAGATGGCGGTTTTAACGTGTAAAACCAAAATTGGCGTGTTTAAAAAAAATTAAGATAATTATGTTGAATTAACACAATCAATAAATATTTCTACATAAAATTATTGTAATATGTGTAAGTTTGTTATAAATAATAAAATCGGTACATACAAATTTATACAAATCGCTTTATATAGAGTAGCCTAACCGAAATTGTTTGACCTTATTTATACTTTTATAGTCTAAAACTGTTAATCTACAAGAGCACAGTAAACGATAATTGTTAACATAATTCTCACACAAATAATAGTACAATTTCACTTAAGTTAATTGCGCACTTTTTTTCTCCTTATTGAAAATATATAATTATATTAGCAGCCTCATATATTCGTGTATTAAACAGTTGAAAGGGGGTTTCCTTGATTCCAATAGATTAAGACCGAAAGCAATTATTGGTGTCCCGGTTTCGGGGTATTTGTGAACATCTGAATTAAGGAATTCGGAGGAAGTTTGGCATGGCAGGTATCATGTGACAGTTCTGAAATCGACTGCATAACTTCTCTGCAGCTTAGCGCCAGGACCGGATCTGACGCGGAAGAGCGAGATAATTTTTAAATTAATACGTTTTTAACACCCCCTGAGAAATGATTATTATGTCTTTTGGATATTTAGATATCAACAGATTGACAATATTCCGATAATTCGATATTCCGAATATCCCGGACAAAGTAAAATGCGTTTCAGAAAAATTATAAATAGATTAGAAATATCTGGACACGGTAGGGAAGGAACCCGCGTACCGTTGGTTATTAGCTATACATTGCTTCCATTACCTCATGCGACGTACGATCTATCCCAGTAAAATAGAGTAAATTGTAAGTTTTGTGTCCGAACGGGAATTTGATATTACTATCACCAATTTTATAAAAATATAAATAAAATTAACGACCCGTAGGCCATCGAATCTATCATAATGAATTCAGATCACACCTGAAAGTTAGGATGCTAACATAATTTCCCAATCGGGCTCCCCATGGGGCCCCAACGGTCTAAGTGCGGACGCGTCCAGTCCCGAGAATGCACGTCTCGCGTCAAACTAGAAGTTAGAACGGTTTGCTCACAATCGGTGTATATGCATATCCTCATCGTTTCCATTTGAACTGCTAAATACAACTTACAATGCCTGTTCAACTTAGTCTGCAAAGCCGACTGCTTCCAGGCTTCGGATGGGAACACCTATTTTAACAGCACGTACATAGTAATTATGATGTGGCATGGAAGAAGTTCAATACAATTTTTAGTAAAAAAAATAATTTTAACGGTTTTAAACGCGAATCGTATTTTAAAATCTCTTGGCGGGTCTTTTAGATTGTAGTGTAGCATCTGAAACTTCGTAATTAAAATGAATTGAATCATGAAGTTGACGTTTTAAACCGTTCTAAAATGTTTTATGTTATTTCACGGAGTCGTTATGGTAGCAACCGACGGGTCGTGGATTCGATCGCCGCAGGGTTCAAAATATTTCTGTGCGATTTATATTATTTTCTTAAAAATGTGACCTTCTGTGAAGTTAACTATGGGTACAATATATTTGGAATCTAGTATTGTCTATAGTTTACGCGAGTTATACACATTTAAATGAAACACTTGACGGTTTAAAACGCTATATTATGTATTAGTTGCCTTATTGACAATTTAACTACGGCCGTTTAGAGTGCTTTGCAGCCGTATTCACGCATAATAATAATGTTATATATTTCGCTTTAGACCGTTAAAAGTGTTATAATTAAAAATAAATTTAATAACTCTGCGTGGCTATTATTTTATAATTGCGTTTAAAACCGTTTGAATTGTTTAATTATTAGATTGTATTCGTAATTGCAAGTATTAATTGCTGCAAAATTATCACTTACAACAGCGTATAGTTCGGTGAGATGCAATCTTTTGAAAATGTAAATTCAAAGATGCGCGCCATTTTTCCAGTGTTACCATAAGGTTCCATTAGGGGGTGCGACGGGTGCGAGTGGGGGGAGGGGGGTGCATCCACAAACAATTCCCGCGGATATTGAACGGCCATGCGTTCGGAAGCAGCAGCCGCCGGCTGCATGCATCCGCATGACGTGTGAAGATAGGAATTCCTTCGCGCGATTGAGGGATTTGCATCTGGTCTTTTAATAGAGATAGACAGAGGGATTCTCTTGATAGAAGGATACCATCTAAATACAATGCGATGCCGATCTATTTTGGCGTTGTATTAAAAAATGGCTTTTATGGAGGATAGAGAAGCGACACTTGATGGGACGTAATTATATACCAGCTAAATGACATGTAAACGAGATGCGCTGCCGACCCATTAAGGCTTTAGGCATTCGGATTCGGAAATTAACAGATTGGAAACCGAAACGCGATTAAACTTGAGGGTTTTTTCATCTTTGGACATCGGTTCGTTGCCGAAAGTTTCCAAAGTAAAATTTCTTTCATGGAATAAAACATGCTGAATCCGGTGGGAATCGAACCCGCTAGCTCTTCAGTTACATAACATATTCAATTATTTCTTGTTTTACACATACATCTGTTACAAAGTAACAAACAAAGAAATGTATATATGTAGAAAATATAACTTTATGTATAAAATATTTTGAAGAATGCATACAAGTTCTCATTTGAGGAGATCTTAAGAATAGTTAAAAATATTATTATTGAGTACTCACTGTGTATTAGCGTTACATGCAAAGAAACTTAAGTTGTAATATCGTTTAGAAGCGGGCAACAGAGTAATCGAGACAGTAGGCCACTGTATTAAAATACTGTTTATTGAATTAGCTACTTACGGCCGGTCTCAATAACTTGCTGTCAATGACGGATAGCTATCCCTGGTATGCAGTTAAAGGTAAGTAGCTGTATCTGGCGTTTCAATATTAACGCCTGTAAACCATTCCGTAACGTCGAAGTCGGCGGGTGGCCAAATCTGTTACTATTTGCCGCAATTGTAAACAATATTTATCATTAAAGTGTTATTGAAACATTTAACTTTTCTTTTAAACGAAGTAACCTATCTATAGTCTCTCAACAGTCAGTTGCATCCAATAGTTAAAGTTTCAATCTATCTGTAAATATTTAAAAGCAAAACTTCAAGAATTTTTCTTACACTTCTAGTTAAAGGTTAGTTGAAAATTGGGACTGGCCATTTAACTAGTTGTCATAATATCTTAGTTATTAGTCTTATGCAGAGATTATTTTTTGTTTTGATAACTTAAATACTGTCTATGGTTTACGCGAGTAGTACACATTAAAAAAAAACACTTTAACGGCTTCACTGGCTTCGCAGCAGCCGTGGTCTTCGCGGCAAGTTAAAAATCATTTTCGAATAAGTTTAACTTATATATCGTGTTTAAAACAGTTAAAGTGTTTTATTTAAATTTTTAAAACTCGTTTAAAGATCATAATAACATTTATTGGTACCGGAAAGTGTCTGTCCTTTTAGATGAATCATTAAATATTGTTATTTAAAGGAAGATTAAGATTCGCTTAAAGTTCGTGTAAAATATGTCAACTATATATTTCGCCATTAAATCGTAACTACTGTGACCACGGCTGCTACTAGTAATAATTCCAAATAAGTTTAACCGTTAAAAGTGTTTTATTTAAATATACATATTTACAAACGTAAAGTACATACAATATTTACGGCATACAATTTTCGACTAGGGCAGGGCTTGATCCGGCATCGTCAGAGTTCCGTACACAGTAATTTTCAAAACTTTAATACATTAAAAAGAAATACAACAATACAAGGTTTAAATAAAAAAAATCTACGTGCAGGACACGGTAGCTGAATTGGTTAGAGTAGCATGGAACGCTATTTCTGCCGGTTCAAGTCTCGAACGTGTCGTACATTTGCTTTGTAATTTAATAAACGACTCGATAGCTCAATTGCTAGAGCAACAGCACGGAACGCTGACGATGCCGGTTCAAGTCCTGCCGGAGTCGAAAATTTTTTCAATTTATTTTCGATTTTTAAATAATTAACAATACAGGCGTTTTTCCAGTTGTCCTACTGGTTACTTCATTCACGGTCTGTGGGGAGAAGGACCATCTGTTGCGGTCAAGAGCGCTCTGAAGTGGGATGGGGTCCCACCCTTCCACCCGATAAACGCATAAGCAGTTCTGATGTGGTGTTTAATACAATATTGCTTTTACTTAAAAGATGTGTATAGAACATATGATGAACTAACAACCGTAGATTGAATAGTCGTGGATTTTAATCTGTGGATTTCAGAATGTCCAACCCGACCGTATGTGGCATCTATCATAAAAAATAATCCAACAATTATCTATACTTCTATACTAATATATAAAACTGAAGAGTTTGTTTGTTTGAACGCGCTAATCTCGGGAACTACTGTATCGAATGAAAAAAATATTTTTGTGTTAGTTAGAACATTTATTGAAGAAGGCTATAAAACATCGCGCTGTGGCTAATACGAGCGAAGAAATATTGGGAAATTGAAAAGAAAATTGAAAATTATTCATCTTTGACCGTTTTCATGACCGCACCCAACGGGTACTCTTGCGTGCGTCATGAAAACGGTTTAAGATACCCATCCTTACTAATATAATAAACTAGCTGTGCCCGCGACTTCGTCCGCGTGAAATATGTACGCAAATGACTTGGTGTAGAATTTTTGATTATTTTGACTGTTTATTAATTTATGTAAGGGCGCATTTAAGGCAACCAATCTATGTTGTAAGTGCTACTTTGCCGTAACACTCTCACATCACTCCTACTCTAAATCCCAACCTCATTTCTACATATATATAAATAAACAAATTCGTAATTCTTTAAATTAATAAACAGCCTAAACAATTAAAAATTCTTTAATTTTAATTATGTAACTTTTAATTCCATGCGAACGAAGTCGCGGGCACAGCTAGTAAAATATATATGCAAGAATCATTCCTCTTTATAAATGATTAAAAAAATATCAGCGGCAGTACATGTCTATCTTTTAAGATTTCATGGCTGGCATAGCTCGTAAGATATAAAATGTCATAAAATACTTTGTGAGAATCGAACTTGCGACTAAATCAATGATTGGTTATTGATAGAGGCGAGCTCGTATGTTGCGGGTTCGATTCGCACACACAAAATTATGTAATAAATTTATATTTTTTCTAAAACATTTTGGACCTAATCTGGATATTAAATGAGTTATGAGAATATCGAAATTCTGCCCAGGACGTGAACGAAAAAGCTATGAAGTTCAGTCAGGTTTAGTCTGTGGGTTTCCGAATATCCAAAGACAAAATAGGACGACGGTATGTCGGCAAGACGGCACCTTCCATCAAGTGAACCGTGTCTTTCGTCTTTTAAATAAAACACTTTAACGGTTTAAAACGCGATGTTATGATGAGTCGATTGTATGTATTGTATTGTCTCTATAATTGAAGAGATATATCTATATCTGTCTGTAGTTTACGCGAGTAGTTTACATTTAAATAAAACACTTTAACGGTTTAAAACGCGATCAACGGCCCGACGTTTGCGGACGTTTTGCAGTAGTTGTCTCGGTAGTTAAAATAAGTTCCAAATAAGTTTAACTAATATACATTGCGTTTTACACGGTCAGAGTATTGTATTTAAAAGAAATATCTGATATACCTATTTATATATTTAGAAGGGAGATACACCTAACAAATAAATAATAAGAATATCGCAAATTTTTATAGAAATTCCGCCCGGGTCATGAACCACCGTCCGCAGATGAAAAAGCCGTGAAGTTTAATCTCAATTAGGTGGCAGTCTGTGGATTTCCGAATATCCAAAGCTAAAATAGGTCGACAGCATATTGTTGAGATACTCTATTATGAGATCCGACATACTATGTACATATTTAGAAGGGCACCTAACAAAAATTTAACTGTCTCTAGGTAAACAATTTCCTCAATATTCTCAAATAACATCGCGTTTTAAACCGTTAAAGTGTTTTATCTAAAAGAAACATCTGACAAAAGTATATATTTAAAAGGTAGTTATAACCAACTACTTAATAGTATTTATCTGTCTCTAGACACATACAATTTCCTAAATCATTTTTATAATTGGGCACATCAATTCCCCCCTACCCCCCAATAAAAATATCTCAAAATATTCTGCACAATGCAATAGGTTTACAACACAACCGCCATTAAGGAATCTTTAAATGTTATTCGTGAGTTCAAAAGCTTGATTTTGGGAGATAAGTGCGTCCCTTGTGCAAATGTAACTACGTCCAGACACTGGCTTGGCCGGCGTCCAATTTGATAGCTTACAGTCCACGCTATGGTGTGCTTAAACTAACAAGTATCGCGGATTTACTCGAACTAAATCGTTTAAATACATGCAGTTGAAATGTCCCACCGCGATGTTCCAGTGTGGATCGGTGGGCTTTAATTATCGTTGCTTTGCATAAGTCACGACTTATGTTAAAAGCTAATATTCCCTTTAGTTTTCGTCTCACATAGCAGAGAATTGAACAGCTTAGACCCACCCCGCTGTAAGAGTGTGGATAGGTGGGCTTTAATTACCTACTGCTGTTTATTGTAAACGGCGCCGGTTTCGGATCTGATGTTAGACAAGAGACAAGATCTTAGACCCACCACACTGTATCAGTCCGGATTAATGGGCTTTTATTACCGATGATATTATAAGTTATATTAACCGGGGGCGATGTTTAGATCTATTAATGTACTACTAATGGGCGCTAATTTCGAATCACTTCTTAGACCCACCTCGCTGTCCCAGCGTGGATTGGTGGGCTAGTGACGTAGTGGCGTATTAGAGATCACAACCGTAACCGACGCTTAAAACATATCCCAAGCGGGATTCTGAATTGTTTTTTTAGAAGTAATAACGTCTTGTCCGTAATTCGAATTGTGGACTTTTTAATCTGTAGTTATTTTGTGTTACCACTGAACCGACGGCTGTATCAACAGATTCGTTTAGGATTTCATTAGAAACTATTATCCACGGCACTTCTCTCGAGAGAATATTATCTGTATAGGACACTGGAATTAGTTTATGAAACCTATTAAAACTGTTTAAATTTAACACTTTCAACTGTTTAA